CCTAAACCCTAAACCCAAAAAAAAAACCTAAACCCTCAACCCTAAACGCCCCTAGACTCTAAACCGTAAAAAAACCCAAAATCCCCCTACCCCCTTAACCCCGAGTGCTGAAACCCCCTAAACCCTGAACCCTCAGAATCCCGAAGCCTAAACCTCAAAGAACACCAAACCTGAAACCTCAACAAACCCACAAACCCTAATCCTTAAAACGAAAACCCCCTTAACCCTCAAACCCCTTGAGCCCTAAAGCGAGAAATCCGAGCACCCGAACAACCCCTAAACTCGAAACCCCGAAAACCCGAAACCCTAAAAACCCGTAAGCCCTAAACCCCAAAAACTCCTGAACCGTAAACCCTACATACCCCTAAACCCTAAACCTCAATACCCCCGCCATTCTTTCAAGCAGCCGTGCAAGCTTGCTTCAAAAGCACACATGTGTCTTTGTCGTGCAAATGGGGGGGGGGGGGGTTCCCTAACCCCCCTCCCCCCCGCTTGTTAAGCCGTGCAAGCTTGCTTCAGGCATTTTTTCAAACTCATCATGCGAGCATTGTGCTTGTAAACTGGGGGGGGGCTGCGCACCCCCGCAACCCCCTGCTTTATTGTTTGTCGAACCCATCATGCGAGCGTTGTGTTTGCAAGTGGGAGGGGGGCTGCCCCAACCCCCCTGCCTGCTTGTTAAGCCGTGCAAGCTTGCTTCAGGCATCTGTTTCAAACTGCGAGCATTATGTTGCACATGGGGGAGGCTGCGCCCCCCCCAACCCCCGCTTTATTCCTTTTCGAACCCATCATGCACGTGTGCTGTGTTTTGCGACTTGGGGCCTGCGCACCGCCCAACCCCCCCCCCTTTTTTCAAGCCGCGATAGACCCCGCTCCCTTTCAAATAGGTCCCTATATACGCCTAAAAACCCCTAAGGCCTAAACCCTGAAACCCCTAAACCCTAAACCCTAAAACCCCACAAACCCTAAACCCCAAAATACCCAAACCCTAAACCCTAAAAACCCCTAAACCTTAAAAACCCCGAAAGCCTGAACCCCACCAAACCCGAAATCCTAAAACCCCTAAAGCCTAAACCCTAAAAACCCTAAGCCGAAAAAAAACTCTAAACCCTAATGCCCCTAAACTCTGAACCAAACCCCCTACTGTAAACCCTAAAAATCCCTAAACCTTAAACCCTAAAAAGCCCTAAACCCTAAAAACCCTGAACCCTAAAATCCCTGAACCCTCAAAACCCCTCAAAACCCCTAAACCATGTAGCATGGGAGAGGAGTAGGCTTCAGGTTTTCTGGCAGCGGCAGGGTGTTTTCGACTCACGTTTCTGGGGAGTGTTTTCTGTAGGGGGCTCACGTTTTCGACTCACGGGCATGCCCTGACTCATGCCTCACTCTTTCATTGCGAACCATGGTTTCTGATGATGAGTCTGAAGTGCATAGCTGTCCAATCGTTGCGCAAAGGTATTAGAGGCGCTCTGGCTCGCTACGGACAGCTGGGTGCCCGTCGTTGATGACGACCACGACGACGATGTTGGGAGGTGCTCTGGGCCACTGCAGACAGCTGGGGCCACCGGGACGCTCCCGGGCCAATCATGGCAGCTGGGTCCCGAAAAAGACAGCGACGACCAGACTTCCAAGGTCCGACATCTGTGACGGAGGACAAGGGCCTATGGCGGAGGACACGACATTGCCCCTCTCCGAAGGTGTGTGTGTGTGTGCGCACCCTGATTCTAAGCAAAAAATCCGGAATGGTCATCTTCGCTCCCGCTCCTTCATTGAGTTGATTGCTTCAGTTTCGGCAGGGACTCTGTGGGGGTTTGGGGGAGTGTGCAGCGCTCCAGCGCACCCTGAAGGGGGATTGGAGTTTACGTGATGCCCTCCCACTCGCCTTTTGGTAGGCGATGCCCGGCGTCTCGCCTTGCAGCGCAGACTTGGCCGGTCTCGGCTTTGTGTTGGCCAAGAACATTCCAGAACAAAGATCTAGGCTGCATGAGCCTACTTCACAAGATTTCTGTGCCTCTCTTGGCCGCTTCCACCAAGTTTTCGTTGCCTGCGTGTCCAGGACACTGTTGCTTCGATCATGCTTTGTTTGGAGCTTCCTCAGGCTGCGGCGCAGGCTGGTGGGGGAGATCGTCCATCCTTCTCTCAGCAAGCCGAGCATCGACCAACTCCGACATCTGGAACCAAAAACATCAAGAAATATTCTGGGCACTCGATTGGCAATCAAAACAAGATCTGGTGGTGCATCTACAAACGCAGCAACTCGCACCCGAATATTAAATCAAGCACGGGCCAAGTCGGACACGGGCTGCTGCCAGATCCCTGGTTTTGGCCCCTTTTCTCATCCGGATGAATGCCGACCGAGATGCTTGACGAATCGCTTTTGTACAGGAATGTTTCACCTCAAGGCAGCGTTGGCAAAGCTTGGGGGTATCTCAGGTCGCAGGCCGTTCGCAACCGTGCCTTGCGTGTGGAAGAACGTGGGGTGGTTTGCAATCATGACGGCTTCGCCTCAATGCAGGGCTCAGGCTTGTGAGACTCTTGCGGAAATCTCCCTGTCAACTCTGCTTTCCTGTTCCCTTTGCCGTTCTCAACGGGTGCTAGCTTTGAGGTCGTTTTAGATTACAACTTCCGGCCGGCACAGACCGGAAACAACGACGCAGACCCCAAACAGCTTGATTTTGCAGAGCTTTTGCGGGCCACACTTTGGTGTTGGCAAGTTGGGAAGCCCCACTCCCCAGTTTCCCGCCCTCCTGTGTGGGAATATCGTGTTTCAACCTTTCGCAGGTTGTGTGCTCTGCGTGTTCCCCGCGAATGTCAGGAATCGAAACGAAACCATATAGCCGTGAAGGTTGAATGAAACAGATAAAGCAGTTTAGAGTTGAGGACATACAGGCCAGGGGCAGCGTGGACGAGAACGACAGCAGGGGCAGCAAAGAGGCCGGCCCTCACTGCACGAGACCGGCCACCCGCTAAGGATTCGGAGGCTCAGAGCACGGACTAAGCTACTTTGCAGACTTTGCATGGTGTCTGACTCTCGGCGCCGAACGTCTTCTATACAGGCCATCCTGGCAGATTCAAAGCAGAAACGGGCCTCTTGAATCTACCAGGATGCAGCGAGTACTACCAAGCTGTATGGTAGCTTCAGAAGCTTGGATACCGTTCATCCTTTACTGCAGACGGCTGCTCGGCACACCTGCTTGTTTGCTCTCCGGAGGCTAGTGCGCTGCCGACCACACAACGGATTTCGAAAAGAGTCTTTTGCAACTCTGCGAGACAATCTCAGATCAACTCACCTTTCGACCTAATTAACTTGCCCCCCTCCCAGGAACCAGAGGTGTCTGATGGAACCCCTCGATCTTCACAGCAACGGTGTGGAGGTCGATCTGCACAGGGCTGATGCATAGAAACAGACCAGCACATGCCGCGCTTGTGAGAAAGCTTCTCAAGTACAGTAAGCGATGCTTGGCGAACGGACATAAGTCTTCTGCTGTTCCCGTGCAGATAGCTGTCCTGTCACTGCCTTGCCGCATCTATTGTCGCATCTTTCCTTTGCCTCTGTGATCGCAGATTGACCATGCCCATGCGGACCCTGCCAGGTGCTCAACAGCTGGCAGGTGGCTTGCCGGGTTGTTTTCAGACCATGCCAATCATGTCAAGCATGCCAAAACCGAAAACCCGCTTGCCTTCCATCCCGCACCCCAACCATCCCCACAGCCTGCACAGCCCGGTGGTTGGGATGAAACTTGGACTCCTGCAGAGGGAAGTCTGGGAATGTCTGGGAAAGCAGAGACTTGAGTTGCAGGATGTTGCAAGCCGAAGCAGCTGCACACTCCAGGAGTGGGCGGCCTTTTGTGCTACAAACACCTCCCCTGCTTTCCGAGCCCTTCGCCTGTACGCATGGCAGATCTTGCCATGGCTTGTCTAGTCGGATGTTTACCTCAAAGACTGAACTTGCATTCTGCCTGCATTCTGCCTGCATGCTGCCTACAACCTCCCAGCTGCGCAATCGGAGAAATGGAAGAGGGGGGAGTTGGACCATGGGGCGGGGATAGGAGCGGGGACCACCTCGGAAGGATGGTGCCGCAAAGCCCTCCGCCGTGGCGTCGCAGCGCCGCTGGTCCTCTCGTTCATTCACCCTCTCTCAAAGGCTCACAGGATCCGGGGCCTGAGATGAGAGGTGAACACGGGCCACGGGAAAAGAATGCGCTAGGAGATGTCGAAAATCCCGAGCTTCTCCCAAATTTCTCGAGATCCTTCTAAACCCCCTTCGAACATCGATCTGAGAGCGAAGCCTCGTCCTTTGCAGGGCACGCCGATGTGCTTCTCGCTGGGAGAAGCTCGCCTGGAAAGAGTCTGAAGCGTGGACATCCAAAACCTGTCAAGACCTGCTTGCCAGATCCCACTGCCTTGGGAGTGCTGTCCAGGCCACGAGGACTCCTCACGTACAGTCGGCTTGGTGGCAAGGCACCAGGTAGTGGCTATGGTGGGACTCGGCGCTGGAATCCCCAGGTCTTTTTGCTCAGAGTCTCAAGGCGTCCGCTGCGCGGACTGATCCACTTGTGACATGAGAAACTTATGTTCGCGGACTGAGGTTTGAAAGGTTGCATCCTACAGAATGCGTCATACCTTTGCCATTGTTCGCCGATCACCATGGACCAATGGAACCTCATGCCGGAAAAGCCGTTGCGGCAAGGAATCTCATTAAAATGGTGTCACGGACCTCTTCCGACTCTAAGCAGCGAGTGCTCCCTCTGGCTACAGTACATTCCTCTTGAAAGTACAATGTGCAGCTTCAGACGATGGACACCGAGCTGCCCGCCGCCTCCACATCCAGCTGGGCATGAATGGTTCACGCGGGCTCTCTGCATGCTGGTGGTCAGGTTACACAAAGACAACATCAGCAGCATTGCCGAGTATAGCCACTACGGCTTGCCGACGTCAACGCTGAGCTTGGCAAGGGGGCATGGGCAGCATAGCTCAAAAGGTAAAGGGCGCAACATCTGAGTGTTTCCTATCAACAAGAGCACTACACGACATCTTCACTGAGAAATATCGAATGCACAAATGAGGAAAGCCGGAACCTCTTAAACAAAATTTCACGTGATTGCACAATGCATGCCGATGCTGCCTGCGCAATCATTGCGATTCCTTCGCATCGTCAAACCTTCAAAGGACGCTGCTGGAGGAACCGAAACCCTGAGTATCGATGCGTGACCGGGGCTGCGCTGGCTTTTTGCAGCATGCCAATTGTCCTTCTGCAATAACTGTGCAGCGAAGGCTCTGCGGCACCACTGAATCATAGAGGATTCCGCACGTTCCACAGACCTCAGTGTGGGCCGAGTAAGTCTGCACACACCTTCACGAGGCCCGCTGGAGGTTCACAAGATGAAGTTGTTAAGGCACACAACGGATCTACCTGCAACGCTCATTGCCACTAAGACTGCAGGGTCTGCAAAACAGTGTCTCAAGCCTTCAACAGCCATGAAGCGGCAATAAACTGCAGTGGATAATCCATGTCTTTGCTGAGTGGCTGTGACCTCCTTGGGGCCGCCTTTGCAGGCGATTCCTCGTCACAGGTGTGTCTGACATACATCACTTACGGGATTGCTGACATTCCCTGCAACCCCCTGGGCCCTGAAGTTCGCATAAAGACCTGTATCCGAAAACCCAAAAAAACAACAAGTTTGGATCCTCCCCTGACAGACTGCAACAAGCTTCAATAAGCTTCATCTGTCTTTCATAGGGACTGTGGCAACTGTCCCTCCTCAAAACTTCACAAGCACATTTTGGGGCATTCAGCTCCTGGAACTTCGCAGGCCGTGCGCAATGGGGGGGGTTACAATAAAAAGGGATTGTAAATTTACAACTGGAAGCCGCAAGACCAGATGTCCATCGAGCCACAGGGCAAAAACACCACAAAAAAATTGGACCAGAGGGCCAAAGGACCAAGGGAGGGCTAGCAAGCGCTTAACTTCAGAATGGCACATAGTGAGTTCTTTCAGCTCTCAATCAAGCATGCGGACCACAGCACCACAACTCACATCAAAGACATTGCCCGAAGCATGACTGTGAGGATGTGATGAGCAACAAGTCCGGAATGCTGGCCTTTGTCCGGCTCGTTGTCAGTGCCACAGTGCTGGTCTTCACTCTCCCGCCGCAGGATGCGAATAAAGCCTCATCAGACGAACCATTGCATTCGGTGGCACCGCAACAGTGGAATTCCCAACCATCAGCGCTAGCAAGCTTGCAAGGGTCCAACACAATCGTCAGCACAAGCTGCTTTAGATTCATGTTGTGTGGTGGGGGCTCAAAATGCAGCCAGGAACCAAGTTCACCCCAGTCGGACCCCCACGAGTTCTTCACAAGCCAGTATTGGTGGCCGTCAGTCCTTCCAGTCTCGACTGTCCACGGGCCCACGAAGAGCAAGGATTCTCCCAAGCGTTAGATATCCACAGTATGCGGAGTTGGTCAGCTCAAAACTAAACTGGCAGGTGCATATCCTGATGTGTCCTCAGTGGAGGAGACCTAAAGCTTTACCATCCAGGAAGAGGACGCTGTGTTGAAGCTATGTCACAAGCTCACAGGCCAAGCCTCCCGTAGCCATAAAGGGCAACAGCCTCAGCACCCAGATGCAGTCGACGCATCGATGTTGGACCCTCGTCACGATAAATCCGCAAACGTGCCACAAGTCTCGCTTCGACATTCATAGTTGGGCATCCTTACCCGAGGACCATATCATAATTCATACCTGGACTGCAAAACCCTGGGGTCTTGTTTGCAATTCACAAGAGCGCATGTTTTTCCATGCGTGTTGGTTGTAGTCGAAGGCTCTGGATTTCGTGGGCTGGGTTGTATACATGCCACCGGAGCACGGTGCAGGGCAGGTCAAGGACGGCTATGCCTGTGTCTTAAAGATGACCCTGTTCTTTTACCACAGTGCTTCAGCGTTGCTTCAAAAGTGTTCAACACTGCTCCAACATTGTTTCAACCACTTGAGCACCAGCACACAAGGGTGTTCGAGCCGACAGGGTTCATCCTCATTGTCACCGAGCGGCATGATTCACGATGTTGTCGCACCCATCAAAGACTCCGCCTGTGAGGTCTAGTCATTCGATCATGGAGGCCGAAGAGCTGGGCTGAAGAGGCCGGATGACTTTTACACACGAGTTTGTCTTAGCTTGCACCGAGTTGCCGTCGTAGCTGAACCAGTTGCTGGCCGCAACAGAGACGGCCACTGGTCCTAAAAGCGCATGCGAACACATCTCTTGCTTGAGGCACGTGGTGGCTACTACAAGTAGTGTGATGCATCTGTTACGTAGTAGTATCCATTGGTATCCCTTCATCTTTCTTTGCAAAGTCGGAGAAGCATTTCTCCAGCTGCTTCCTCCAAGCTCAGCAAAAAAGGTCAGATGGCATGTGGTCTCTCGGGCATAGGAGGGCCTGCGAAGTCTCAAGTTTCCAGGTTTGACTCGGCTTGACAAGGATCTGAAGTTCACTAAGATAAGGCAGATAAGGCACCCTTTCATGCTTCTTGTGCTTGGGTCCCTACAGATCGACTTCATACTGCGCGTCCCTGGGACCCGTGCCCAGATCGACCAGTGCTCTGGCCAGGGGCTCCTTTGGGCAAAAACGCTGTGTAGCCCATCAAGGGCAAGAAGTTGACAAAAAAACAACCCCGACAGGGGCCGGAGCTTCTTTGTTGCTAGGCAGCACGCGGAACCCTGTCCTTAGGTGTTGTTGGGGATAAACATGGAATCTGCCACGTTTCAACGTCCCTACATCTGCGTGCTTGCACAGGTTTCTCAAAAACCAATGACATGCAAGTCACAAAACCGTGAAAGCACCATAACTCCACGGTCATATCAGTAGAATTATAGCTCCCAAATCAACATGGCCAACTCCCTTGCCGCCGGCTGCTCAATCCAAAAGCAGCTCCGCCGGCTGTAGCACCACGAAGGCCCTGGATACTGAGGGCTTATTGCTTTGGGTTGAAGGATGCTGACGGTGCGATTCTAGCTTTGAACCGCTGTTTCCACCCTCGTGGCCTGCGCTGAGACGAAGGAGTTCATGCAGGCGCGGTCCTCATGCAGTGTCTAGGCGGGAAGGTGGGCTGGGGCAGATCCACTCAGATGAAGACTTGTCTGAGGACTTCAACTGACGTTGGTAAACTACCGGCGGAGAACGCGTTTTAGTATCCAGGCGGTGCTCTTACCGTCCTCATTTTTTCAGGCCTGCTGTAAGTCAACCTGTGTACTCTATATCTATATATATGTAGAGAGAGAGATATATATATATATGTAAACAGAGCTGTAGGACGCTCTCAAGCAACCTGGCCCGAGAAGAGTACATCTCTGTAAGGTCCCTCCGAGAATTCTGGGCATTTTAATCTAAACAATTCGCGCTTAGTGAAGTAATCGCTCTGCCCTTTTCAGCTCGCATGCCTGGGCCAAGTACGGCACGGAGGACTCCAAGCTGAGTCCATGCCTGAGCTCTGAGAGAGATCTGTGCGACGGCGTGTGAGAGTACAGCGAGAGAATCGCGAGAGTAAGTGCTCATAACGGATCGACTCAAAATCGAAAGCTGCGCCGAAGCACTGCACCGCCCAGCCGATGCCCAACTCCACTGTGGCCCCGCTGCAGCCACCCTGGTATCTTCGTTGCTTGGAGAGGGAGGGGCTCTAGGGCCTTGTACGAGGATCGCACATGCTCGCAACATGAGTCCCTGCTTGGCTCGGATGCTCTCAGGCTCCATGACATGCCTGTGGAGGATTTCTAAGGTGCTTCTGTATGGGTCCCTCTACGAGGTCGGATGGCCCAACCACTTCAGCTCCTACTAGTATCCAACAGGTGCTGAGACTGGCTGGCCTGTCCACCGCACTCTTGAGGGTTGGGCACCTTAGCCATAACAACTATTGGGCGACAATGCCCACAGATGTTGGGAGCATCCCGGCCTGATTCAGGATTCGACGTTTGTGCTTGTGCTTCAGGACGCATGTTTATTCACTACGTGGCCTGAGCTTCTACAAAGCTTCGAAAAGCACGACACAAGCAACTCCCTGCGCAGACTCCCCGCACCGAGCACTCCGGGATCCGAGCGCAGTTCACCAACTCCTGTCTCTCTCATCATCTCTCATCATCTCTCGTCATCGCTCATCATCTCTCAGACAGTGGTGAGGATGCTCGACACTGGCTCAGCAACAGGTGACATGAGTCGACATGAGTTGGCATGAGCACCAGCAGCTCTTGCAGTATGAGAGGGAAAGATATCGCGGTCCCTGACAAACCCAGATGACCGAAGCAAAACTTCTGTCGCAGGTCCTGGCTCGAGAATCTCCTGGAAAGTTCACAGTCAGATCCCGGCTTGGAAGTTTGTTGGCCGTCACTCCATTATGATCACAGCAGCTACAACGACCATGGCGGCCATGGCGCTAGACATGCATGTTCACACAGCAATCAAACGCGCAACATTGCTTGGCCAAGAAAAGAAGTGCAGATGGGTTCGTAGGGAACTCGACGACTCGAGCACTTCGCGACTTGGGGCTCCGACTCCATCCTCCTTTAAGGCTGGTTACAACGAAACGGGGTTCGAAAGGCGTCAGGGAGTTTGGAATCTGAGCCTCGCCATTTTCGCACCAATTTTGTGAGAGGGTGAAAACACAACAAGGGCAACACCAACAGAACTGAGCATCAGAGCACACTGAAGGTTCAACATTAATTGATGTGAAAAGTATCGTTGCGAAAACAAGCTTCCCGTTCCAAAGAACTGTGTGAAGAATGGTACTAAAGCGTACAGCGGGAGGAAACCCTTTTGGTCCGCGTGAGGTGGACGCAGTTACGGACCCCCCCTCTTGCGGGCGTTGGCTGTTCGGATGTTAACATCCAGACTTGGTCAAGGGTGGGATTGGGGCTTCTCAGTGTGTCAGTCTGTCAGTTAGGGTGTTTAGGGGCTGTGAGGTTGTAGGGGTTTGGGGGTGGAGTTTTGCTTTTAGGGCTCAGAAGTAACTTAAAGGCTTTTGGGTTGACAGATCCAAGGCTTTAGGGTCTTGAGGTCTGGAGTTTGATTTCAAAATGTATACTTAGAGATGGAAGTGCATGTGCAAGCCGAGCAGAATCATCTGTGGATCCTTGCCCTGCCGCGGTGGATTTCACTGTGCGCGTTGAGGACAGTAGTCGCACCTGAGATGCTGTTCCGCACGCAGATCCTTGCATGTCTGACGACCTTGTCTAAGCTCGCTGGCGCCACACAGCCTGCACAACCTTGCGGCCTGGCTACTTATGGCCCAGCACGAGCCGCAGCCCCCCTGCTCGACGATCGTCTGTGCATCGCTCAAGTGGCGCCAGTCCACCTGCCAGGAAACGGCCGGTGGAACCAGCATGTAAACAATGTAAAAGGAAAATGCAAAAGAAAAGCATGCTTAAAAAGGAAAGCTCCCAAAGGGCATTCTTGGGGGCCGTTATGGGGGCCCTGTCAGGGGCTTTTTGGGACCCTACCGGAGGCCTTACCGGAGGCCTTTTTGCGGCCTGCATGAAAAAGGCTCAGGACCCTAAACCCTAAACCCAAAAGGCGCCCCCCCCCCCATCGAAACAAAAGCTTGCGCACAAAACCTCACAACAACTTTTCGGCCCCCTTCCTTCCCGTGCCTTGTCTGGCAAGGCCGACTTGAGCCGCGAGTGGTCCTCCTCCTGCTGCTCTCTGTTCTGTGTGAGTGAAAAAGAGTCTCTCCTTCTACTTCTCGGAGGGCCCCGGACCTCTTCGATGCCCTTGATATCTTTTGATGTCATTTGAATGCCGGGGTGGCTTTGGCTCTCGGTTGCAGAAGCATGTGCAATTGTGGTCATCGCTTTGCGGCCACATGCAAAGCTAAAGCTGCCAAGGCAGCAATCTACTGCGAACCAACAAGGGCCTTCCAGCTGAGAACATGCTTGCGTGAGTGTGAGGAGAGCTGTGAAATTGGCTGGCCCAACCTCTCTTGCAGATGGAGCTGTGCACTGACACATGCGGACATTGTAGGGCCGAACCGAACTCTCCACGAACTCTCCAGAGGCCTCCGCAGCGAAGGAGAGGCCCTGCGATTGGCGCACCTGCTCAGGTTTACAGTAATCAGGTGCTGGGTGCGGCGTGACTTTCCAAGGGTTCTTTTGACACCCTGCATGCCCTAGTGTTGCAGACGGCAGTTCACTCTCCACAACACGAATTCATGCCAAACACGAGATTCTGGAGGGAACACGCAGGAACAGGCGTCGCCTGCGCCGGCTTGTAGCCATGCATGATCTTCAGCTCTTCCTCCTGGCTGGATAGCTCGATCTTGAAACCATCGTTCATCACGCAAGCTGCTACCCAAGGTCAGCAGGCGAGTATGTAAGTTCCTATTCTCATGATTCTTGCAAAGATTGGCATTCGCATGGCATGACAAACTGCCTTGCGATCGGAAAACTTGTTGATGGCCGCAGACCACTTTGCATCGGACCTGAAGCATGCAATGCACCCAAGCTCAACGGAAAAAGAGAATGCAGTACACATGATTGCGGCATGCAGGAAGCCTGTGGGCGTGCTGCTGAAGTACTCGGTGTCTTGACCTACATCCCCTGGCCTGTTGTTCTGCACCACCGCCGCCACTCGGCGAGCCTCGAAAAGAGCAGCACGCTCCTCGTACTCCTGCCGCACAATGCGTGAATCTTCAGTGTTGTGTCGGCCTTCTGCACTCAAGGGCACTTGCTTGCCCATTCTTCTCATGCCCGGACACATGCTGCCAGACCTCCATCCCTGGAACATCAACTACGAGCCAGACCCACAACCTCTACAATCTCGGTGAACTCCTGAACACCACATGCTCGCCTGAGAACCTTTGTTGTAGCTTCGGCCATGCTTCGCGATGAAGTCATCAAAGGACATGGAAACTCCTGGCTGTTTCAGGAGCTATTTCTCGACATGTGAAGACTCATCTTGGGCTTAGACTTAAGAAGCTCGGTTTGGCGGGAGGCTGCCGGCTGTTCAGGTCTAGAAGGGGTCTCTTAAGGATCTTTAGGACTCTAGGTCTCTTTGACTGTTTCAACCAGCGACTCGTTTTCACCTGATCCTGAGTGAGTGGCTAGCCTCCTCTGTTGGTGGAGTGGACCTGGCAGCAACTGAATGGGAATGACATGCAGAGATCCCAAAACGCCGAACACTCGACCGTCGGGCGACATTCGGCATGGGGGCCGCCGCCTTGGCCGCGGAAGCGCACGTGAAGAGCACCATGGCTGCCAGCAGCGTATGGGGACGGGCGGCCTGGAAAGCACACACAGCTGACAAAACACCTTAGCCACCTTAGCAAGCACTTGCTAGCCGCTGGAACCAAACTTCCGAGCAGCATCGTACGCTACTCTCACGGTACGTCCGCTTGAAAATACACGTCAGGACCTTCAGGTTCTGAACCCATCTCATGCGGAATTCATGCAATTTCAAGCATGCCTGAGCCATGCCGTCAGCAGCACTGGGCCGCAGCTTCATCATTTTGCGGAAGGGAGGGTGGCTAAGGCAGTTTCTTAAACTGCCTTGAGCTCTGCGGCGACCAGAAGCTTGCACGTGCAGAGGGACAGGAGCGGCCGGGGACCGAAGTGCACATAAGCCACATGAAGCAGGTTATTTGGAACCACGGCCTGGACCTCGAAGACGAGTTGGACTGCCTCTGCAAACTCCGCAAAATTCCCCGCACAGGCCATGCGCCTCCGTCTGAAATCCGACTTCAGCCGATGCCTTTCGTCGCCAGCATCGCCCGGCGGTGGAAGTTCTGGCCTCACGGACGAACAACAAACCTGACGGACACCACGGGACCCTCAATGCGGACAGTGAATATGGACACTTTGATCATGTGGCAACTGTGGCGACGACTGCTAGACTATCAGGCAATGGCCACATCCCCACTTGAGGCTTCAAAGACAACGGCTGTCTCAACAAACGCTTCACAGAAGAATCTCCTGAATATGAGCACAGCCGCTCGGAAAATAACCAGAGAGGGATGGACAATGTCTCGGGTGTGCCATGGGTAAGGCATCATCCCTCCGACCTTCGCAGGGGCTCCAGCAGCAGTTCAGGTTCCAACCCGCTCCATACAGAGGTATCCGGCACGCACCTATCCTGCCGCCCCTCCCCGAAGAGATATTATCTCAAGGCAGGGCAGGTTTATCAAGACAGTTGCCAGGCCAGGCAAGCCATCCCTGCCATAGACCAGAACTCACCCACATGGCTGCGAAAAATCACCTTCACATCTACCCTCACGTAGCCCAACGCCACGTGTACTCTTGGTGGCGATTGGGAAACATCAGTAGAAGACTCTCGGCCCAGCAGGAAGCCTGTCCTGCGGGCCACGGGAACGCGGCAAATCGCGGCAAGAGACAAGAGACCAGAGGCTACTGATGCCACCCACCCATCCGACACCCCCAAGGATTTCTGCACAACGCTGGGACGGTTAAACTTAAACTTAATGTTTTCCGGCATTCGTTGATGACATGATTCCCAGCGCATCTGCGTGGGAGCTCTGCGCGGGAAGCACAAACTCCTGCCAAGACACACGAACCCCGCAGGCACAGGCCCGGAGCTCATCGTTCTCGCACCTGGGCGAGGCATAAAGGAACCAAAAGAAAACCGACGCCACGAATGACGGTCTGGCAGGATTCGGTTGTGTCTTCGGTTGAAGCCAGAGGGGCAACTTGGGGCCAGACTTCAGTGCGCTTGGTGCGTCAAACATGGTTCAATGTCAAATCATGTCAGCTCTTCCAACTCTTGTTCAATGACTAGAAGTTGCTGCGACTGAGTCAAGGAAGCTGGTTTGAATGTGCTCTCGGCTGTGTGCGGAGTGGCACATCGCAGCTGCTCAGCTGCGCCGTACCATTGCCGTAGCAATTTTTTTCTGCCACCGCTGTGATGTCTGGAGCCATAGTGCAGCTGGCCCAGGCAATCCAGAATAATCAAAAGCAAATGACACTGTTGACAAGAAGCGCAAAGTTCTCAGATGGCTCGATATCATACAATACTCAATATCAATGCAGCCCACACGCTTGTCAGCTCCAGCTTGCCAACACCATCTCTCAAAGCAGCAACCGGAAACAGCCACCACAAACAGCAGCAAAAGCAAACGAAACTCAGCTCAGCGTTTGGATGTCTCACCTCGGCAAAGCCTTGCTGCGCTGCTGCAACGAGATTCAAAGGATCCCAGGCAAATGAAACCCATACTGAAAGGCTCATCTAGCATCCAGTCCTTTGCCACAATAGCACTTGTCTCACCACGACTGCTCAGAGGGCAGATTTGCATGCCCAAGGCAACCAGGCTTGTGGGTCTGGCACACCCATATACCCGTCCATGAACGCAGTGCCATGTTTGTATGCCGACACATCCTTCGATCTATTTTTGCTGATGCTTAAGCGCACGTGACGCACAGAATACAGAGCACCACCGATGGCAGAATAAACCTCCCACTCAATCGGGATAACCTCACAAAGCCTACCCGGTTTGCCACTGAGTGTGTCGGCACGCCCCTGAACCCGTGTTCTTTCAGATACTATCCTGTGCTAAAATATGTTCTATACCTTCGCAGAACTGCTTCCGGCACTCTTTGGCGAAGGGTGCACGCAGGGTGTGCGGGCTGGCACAAGCCATGGCACCCCGATTTATCGGGGCGAGCCTCCGAACGCACAGCTACGCAGCGATTCAACATGACTCAACACTTTTGGTGGGCTCTGGGTCTCTCCGGCATCCCCTTAGTTGTCTCACACTTCACCCTCAAACCCTCCCTTGAATCGCAGCCCGGCTCATCCGAGGATAGCGTCCGTGCTCCAGGTTCACCAGCCCTTGACAGATATGGAAAGGGACATGAAGAGAGGAACGAATATGACACAGGGAGCTTTCAGGCTTGCCTCCGGGCCTTTCTCGAGTTCAGAAAAGCCGTTGGCGTACTTCAGTGCTTCCTCTCCAGCAGTCCCAGCTCAAAACCGAAAGAAGCTTAGACCCCTGCATGGCAGCAAAAACAACTCATCTCAAATCCATGAAATCCCTGCAAGCCTCTCAGATGAGGCTTTGTCTCATTTTGCCTCGATTCACCTACTAGTATGATCTAGGTCAAGCATGGTCAAGCCCTGCAAGGGAGCGGCTTCTTGGAGCTCTTGTCTTTGTCTTTCTCCCCTCAGCGCAGCGCAGACAGAACAACAGTATGCCACTAAACACCCTGAAGGGCAGTGCACGCTCACTTCGATGTTCGAAGGATTCAGATTCATCGGTGCAGCAACTTGCAGAGAACTATACCACTGCGGGCAGCTGCATGCCTAGCCAACACATCCCACAAATTGTGAGACACGGACACTGAGCAGAAGATCGGTTGACCCTGAAGCAAAGAAAAGCTCCTGTGAGAGAAAAAAGGCAGGAAGAATGAGAAAAAATTGAGCCACAGAATTTGAGAAGTAGATGGCTGAGTAGGTGCTTGGCTCGACAACGAGACGAGCAGGTGAGCAAGAGAGAACATGAGAGCAACAAAGCAAGAGCAGATCTGTGCAGTCTTCGCTACTACTACTACTACTACTACTACTACTACTACTACTACTACTACTACTACTACTACTACTACTACTACTACTACTACTACTACGTACTACTACTACTACTACTACTACTACTACTACTACTACTACTACTACTACTACTACTACTACTACTACTACTACTACTACTACTACTACTACTACTACTACTACTACTACTACTACTACTACTACTACTACTACTACTACTACTACTACTACTACTACTACTACTACTACTACTACTACTACTACTACTACGTCGTACTACTACTACTACTACTACTACTACTACTACTACTACTACTACTACTACTACTACTACTACTACTACTACTACCACCACCACCCTTTGATCATGCAAGATTCGGTGCTTCGCATCTTCATGATGCTCTGACTTGTCCTGGAGGAGTAGAGGGTGCACAACATGCCGACACCCTACCTTCAAGTCTTTCCAACAGGTGTTCACTTGGGTGTCCTTTTTTCGCTTCTTCTTTGGCGTAGGACTCCGTGAGTAGCTGTCACCTTGACACAGGTACACTTCGGATTGCCTCGAGTCCATTGGAGGACTCTTGGGCAACTGTTTAGAAATCTGAAGCCGACAGAGCTGACTCAAGCGAAAAGTGCAGAGGGCTATCGTTGCGGTCTGGGCATGAGTGAGCCATTCCCCATCCGATTCCATATCTCTTGACAGAGTCTGTGCGCGCCGCCACCTACGCAAATGCTAGGGGCACAGCTATCCGCCTTGCCGTCCTCACTGTCAGCGTCGCCTTACTGATGTCTCGAGAATTTGACTGCCCGCTCGGCTTGGCATGTTGGCAATGTGAGCATCTAGGTGACCAGCCATTCAGGTCCTCCAAAAGCCTCCAGACAAGAGAGCTTTGGGCTTCCTGTGATCGACAACATGTCGCTCCGCTGGCCTTTTTGCTGAAGCTACACAGAAGACGACCTGAAAGCCTCCTCGAAAACACCAGTCAGCATGTGTATGTGCTCTGCCCTTCTCGATCGAACCTGCATCGCTGCAGCTCTTCGCGGTCCTCCTGGCAAACCAAACTTCATCCAACTTCAACAGGTTCTGGAAGATCAGGGAATCATCGAAGTGGCATCAGGCCTCTTCGAAGAGGTGTAGGTTGGCCAGGACCAGACCCTGTGTCCTGCACATCACCTAGCAGGGTGTTTGGCTGGCCGCAATACCAAGGATGCTTGGACGAGGCTTCACATTTTACCTCCAACTCGGCATATCGGCGTATGGGTACTCCTTGCACAAATGGGCACCATCGGGGGAGTGCCTTGAGAACCCTCCCTGACAAGGTACCCAGATTGCATATGTCTACATTGATGCAGCTGACTTCCTGGGCTCTTTGTCTGCAGTCCGACCTGAATCCCAAACACGGGACTGTTTCAAACTATTTCGGGCCCTTTTGTTGCAGAGAACCTGGTGACAAAGCGCCTCCGTGCCGAGCCCGGAAGCAAACTTCGACGAGCGTACCTCAGAGGCACCGGGGAACTGGGGACCAAAGACACACCCAAACGCTGTCAAAAAAGGGGTCTGAGATGCTTTTGCGTTGCTCCTGCAAGTCGCACAACGCTGCTGGCCACCGAGCTTGGCCCGACACGATCTCGGAGATGGCCGAGGCAGCGAGGCGGCCATTGATGGCCTCGACCAAGGCCTCGTTAGGCTCCAGCTGATTTCAACAACATGGGAGCTCGGTTTCTTTTTTTGGTGCTTCCTCATGCTTCCTCACTCCAAAGACTTTGAAGGCGCGAATGGAAGTTGTCTGCGTGAGCTGGGCCCTGGCTGCTCTCTTGCCTCGTGCAGCCACCGCAATCGGCTAGAAGGCTTCTTGCTAAGCACCTGAAGCATGGGCACAGCGCACAACGGCATTCTCGGCAAACGCAGAGAATAAAGCCTGGCAGTGTCGGAGTTCGGAAACAACGGCTGCGCCTCGCTCTTGTCGAAGTGGCCATCAGACACATCCTCAACACCAAGGCCACAGCGTCTGATCAAAGACAAGCAAGCCTTGCAAATCGCGCTTAAACACACCGCGTTCTCCGAACATCTATGCAAGTCCTTCGACTTCTCCTTCTTGCTCTTCCTTGTGCACTCAAGTTGATGTTGAAACTCTCAAGAGTTATCAAAGCCACCAACAAACAAGGTGCTGTATCTGGTGTTCTCGTAGCAGACAAGCTTAGCGATTTAATTAAGTTGGTGCACTGCTGCCTGCTTTGCGGCACATAACCTAATGAAAGGTGGGGTCTCTGCAGCACACAAAGGCCCACAAAGGCACAACGACGATAAACCGGAAAACGGCAGGACCGAGTCAGAAAGCATCCTTCAGAGTGTTCGGAAGACGCAGAGGGCTGAATCAGAAAACGCAGGCGCTGAGCCGCACATGCGCGCCGCCAAAACAAAGTAACTGATGCTCGAAGGCTCCAATCGGAAAACGCGCAACTGAAAACCAAACAGGCCCAAGGGCGAAAAACGCAACAAGCTCCGAACCTCCCAACGCAAGCGCAGCCGGATCAGAAGAAAGCTTGATCATATGGTCACTCGTCGCAAAACTTGCAGGTAGAAAACCGACCCCTCCGAATTCGGAATGAGTCGTACCTGTTGCGTGCTGAGATGACTCGTCGGCACCGCTACTGCTTCATGTCATGCCGGGAATTCCAGAGCTCGATCCAAATTCGGCAGACCACGTCTTCAAGACCAAGCCTGCCACTTCTGCTAAAAAATGTCTTGGAACCACTCAGACCAACCCGATCTACGAGCGGGACCACCAACAAAACCCCGACTTGTGCCCAGCAGCACAGTGGCCACCGAGCGGCTTCTGTCTGGGCTCATCCCGCTCTCTGTCCTCCTCCTCCGAGCGATCCTCGAAAGACACAGACGCGAGGGTGATACTAGCTGCAAGACCCAATTCCTCCTAAATCCTCTTTGTATCTGCCTTCTCCTTCTTCCGCTTCTTGGGCGAAGGACTTCGCGAGGCACTACCACCTCAGGTGGTGGTCGGCCGGTGGGTTGTGCTGCTGGTGATAGCTACCGCCCTGGCTCACTGTCAAAGATACTCTACACTAAATAGGGGTGCGTCCCAGAGTTTGGTGAAATGTGTTTCCACTGGTTACACATTTGTTCAACTGAAGGGGAGCTTGTTTGTCCTTGCCGTGGCTGAGAGATGGCCTCCCAGCCGTGCATCTACGACAATCGAACGTGCCAGAGCTCCACAGCAGGCACCTACAGACTCCCTGTCCATCTTGCCGAACTGATCGCAGTGATGATTATACAAGTAACAATAATGACTAAGCTATTGATCGCACCAGTATCGATACAGTAGCGAGAGCAGCTCAAGTATACAAAATAACAGTAGTCGTAGCAGTCGTCATCGTAGTGGTCGTAGCAAGCAGTAGTATCAGCAGTAGCAATAACTAAACTAGTCAAACAGAATCATATTGGCACTGGCAAAAGCAACGGAAGTAGCAACGGTAAGCTGGCTGGCATCTGTAAGCACTGCAAATTCTAGCGTGCAGAGAATGTTAGGCTTAGTGCTACAAATAGAAAGCTGGCATCCTCCCCTGATGCCTGAATCTTGTGCATGATAAGTTGATTTTGTTTCGATTTGTGCGGCACGGGAGTTGAAGCTCAACTGTTCAACAGGATGGTGATGCAACTTGGCACGGCTGAATGGGATAAGACTCTAAGCGCCGCCGTTTTGCAGCGCGCCGCCGCTGGTGACGGCGCACACCATTCTGTCTCTTGTAATGAAGCTGCATGTACTACCTCGAATGCGCTGAGGGCACGACCGCTGCCCGAAAAGTCCATGAGCCTGATTTCCGTCAAGGAACCCTGGGGAGCTGACCAGCGAAATCATGGAAATTCCACAGACAGACTTGTAAAAAAAAGCACGCGGTGCAACATCACTTCAAAACAGGGGCCTTCCATTTTGAAGGCTCTTCTGCTGCTCCTTCGCTGGCGCGTATTGTGGCATGAAAAAAGGTCAAGACACGTTGGCTGGCAGCAGTGTGAAAGCGGAGTTCCTTCCCGCAACTTTATCCATCTTGCAAGATTTGCAGCCGGCTCGCAAGACACACAAGACTCAACCTTAAGGCTGAACACCAACAAGACAGCCGGCAGCCTTTTTGAACAGATGCAAATTGGCCAAGACCAGCCCCTTCATCTGCATCCCCACCTGTGCAACATGCAACAGCATGGGGACAATGGGAGACAAAGGCCCTGTGTTATAAAACCTGTGTTATAAAACTCTCCATGTTGGCTCTCTGCTAACTGATGTTCACTGTTGGGTAACACTGTTAAGGAGTTGGCTCTCGTGGCCTTGGAGCCGACGCCGGCTGTGAACTTGGAGGACTGGACCTCACTGACGCGACCATAAGAACACTCACACTCGGTCACCCTCTCAATGGCAACATTCCCCTTGGAAAGTGAGATTCTGCTGAGGCAAGGCGCTATGTCGTAGATGGCTGGAGCGGCAATTCGACCTTTGGAGGCAAGGACGAGGGCCTCGGAACAGAGATCCGTGCAGGGCTTTCCGTGAATTCGTCTAAGCTCAGTCGATCCGACAAGATGCAGAACATTGTGGTGGACCGTAGGCAGGGCCCGTGAACAGAGATGATAAATTGTATGGTGTCTCCGTGCAAATCAGAGCTCAAAAAACTCGCCATCGTTATCGATCCCTCACCTTGTGCAGCCACTTTAGCCGCCCATCTGGTCTCTTGCCCACGACCTGGCGTGGCACTGGGTTCGGCCATGAACATCTTCTGTCTTAGCTGCTGCTCCTTTCTGTGGTCTCGACATGCTCTTCAAGGAGACACGGCGCCTCACTCTTCTCCATCGGCAGATCAGCTGCCTCCTTCTTCTCCCTCTCCTGCTCCTGGCCCAGAAAAGCCGCTGAAGCCCTAGCGACCTGCTTGCTAGATGTCTCAGGGGCTTTGCAATTTGTCTTGGCAAGGGCTTGGCATCAAAATCCGTGGCTCTGCCTCATCGACCTTGGCCTCCTTCTTCTGTCTTCTTGACATCACCTCAGAATATCTAGGCGAACCAGATGCATGTAATCAGCGATTCAGCCAGGTTACGTAATGGTTACGATGCTAGCGCCAGGAGCCGGTAGACACGGGACGATTCGAACGCTTCAGGCTGCTTGAATTGCCGCGCTGGGCAAAGAAAGACAAAAGTGCCGCGGATAGCAGCATACGAGGCCTCTCCAGCCCACTGTTCGTCCACCTTCGTCGGGTCGATGCCGGCCTTGAGGCTTCACAGATCTTCACAGGACGGATTCATCATGAGTCATTTTGTTTTGATTAGGGTAACGTTGCTGCAGTGGCTCGTTTTAAGTTTCTTGCCGGGCTATTCGAGAGGGAGAGGGTTGTGGGCAGTGAAGCATGTAAGAGAATGGCATACTGAACCGTTCAAGACTTAGAGGACTACAGAAAACCCAAAAGCCGCTAAGCCGCTGCTCGCATCCGCAGCTCATCGCCCTTCTGGCGTTGGGCTTCACTCCTTGCATATATGCGCATGCCACAGAGATTGTCCTTGAAATCTGAGGTATGCAGTCATGCCATTGGTCAAAACACAATCTTATCTTCTGGGGCCTCGACCTACAAATTCCACCATGACAAAACCTCAACCTTTGTCAAACCTCCCTCACCCTGTACTCTGACCTTCCTGTACCTTGCATCATCTTGCATCTGCACTCTGCCACTGCACTGAATCGGCCATGCCCGGGCCTGGAGAGCATGATGCCACTGCTGAAGGACGCCGGCTTCGAAGACTTGATCATGGCCTTAGCATGGACTGCCCTGACAGGTTGCAAATTTTGCAAGATGTTGCAAGGTGTTGCAAGACGTTGCAAGCACGTACGAAGCACCCTGCAGCACGGCGCTCAAAGAAGTCACCCACGCCTGGGCCCACGCTTGGGCCTTCCCACTCGGGCGGCGGCTTCTCAAGCACGGGGCGTCCGAAAGTGAGGGTGTGTTGGCGCTTGGCCTGTGGGTTTAGGGCCTTAGAGTGTCTCGGCTTGAGAAATGAAAAGGGCCGAGCTTGCATCAAGGCAAGCACTGAGCATGTCAGGCTACATGTTTTGGGCGAGGGCGACGGTGGTGTAGGGAATCTGATGGTGTCGGGAATCTGAACTGCTACATGTCAACAAAAGCACAGCTCAGTTCAGTGGCGAATGATGGCGTTGCATTCATGCACGGCTAGACACCTTGGGGATTGGGCTCGGGGGAGTTACATGTCTGCTTGTGTCTGCTTGTGTCTGCTTGTGTCTGCTTGACAGAGCTGAATGCTGCGTGGCCGCGGCAGCGCTGCCATTCGGAGCCTCCGACTAGCGGCCTGCACCTATCTGCACCTATCTGCACTTTGCAGATGCAATATGCTTTTTTCTTAAGAGACTTTGCAGAGCGGTCGGGAACGGGTTTTGGTCTGCATAGGAAGTTAACGAAAGGCGCTGGTCTGGACTTATGTGACCATTGTGGCTTCTGCTTTCCTCTGCTCAGCGCCTTCCATAGAACTCCCAAGTCTCAAGGCCCTACTTGAGTGGGTGATCAGCAGGTTGGCTACCATACAGTGCGGCAGCCGAGGGATTCCTACTGCACCTCTAATTCAGACCTAACCTGCACCTGATCGTTCAGGCAGTTCAAGGTTAAAAGCTCGACACAAAGGTCCCCAAGGACCCGTGCGCGACTTTCCAAGACCCAGGCCGGTCTGCTTCTTTGAGCGATCCTTCCCTAACCTATTGCGTCTAAGCATGAGATTGGCAGGATTTGACCTGTGAGGGGCTGTCGAACTGTAAGCTTCGGGTATAGGCTGATGAGAAATAAGTCACTTCGGATACCTGACAAGCCCCAGGCCAGACACATTCCGTGACATCCTGCTCGGTATCTCCCATCCAACTACTGGGTCAGGCCGCTTTAGATTGCCTGGTTGCTTGGAGGTGTGGCGATCTTGCGAGAACCATGACTGTCAAACAGGTCTTCTTGCTTTTCGCATAGAAGATGTGAGGTGCCAGTGCTTAGCAGTGTTGAGAACTGGTCGTGCTTTGGGCTGAAAGGGTTGGCTCGTACTGGCTTGCAAGCGTGTAGAAGCGTGTAGGGCTTGCACTGTTTTGGGGTAGCAGCGTTTAGGGCGTGTAGCGTGCAGGGATTGCACTGTTGAGGACTTGCACTGCAAGGATTGGAAGGGTCTAAGCCTCGAAGGGTTTCAAGGGTTTAGAGACCTTATCACCCCACCCCCCCGCCCAAACCGCTAAAAACCAGCAAAAGCAACAAAGAAGCACCCAGGCAATCCAAGGCGGTAGTAGCAACGACTGACAAAGAGAGGCCGCCCGGTCGGGCAGAATGAAGCAGAATGCAGCAAAATGACGAAAGAAGTTGCACGTGCAGGTCTCAAGTCCTGAGAAGTCGCACATGACGTGACCACAGCACACCAAATTGCCAAACCCAGGAGGCACACTCAACTCCGAGGCTCGGAGGCGGTCAGTTGCTTGGAGGGATCGCAAATTGCCCGTTGTAAAGGCTGGTGTCGCAGATGTCACAAGATGTTCATACAATGTCAGCTGTTGTCCGCTAAGTCGGACGCTTCCACGCTTCTTACATCGGGCCGCGCATCCCTTAATTTGACACTATGCCGCTATGACACTAGGACACTATGACACTAACACTCTATCGCATTGGCAGCTCATCCAAGATAACGAGGAGTGGAGACTAGCCTTCTCAGCTGTGACTTGCAATGAAAGAACCACATAAGGTCATAAGGACTGTAGTCCCCAACCGCAATCGCTTTCCAGTGTGTCACCACTCCCGCAAAGAGAAAAAACAAACAATTGCCAGGGTGCCGATGAGAGAATACGTCACCATGATCCCTCATCACATTCTTGCACCCAACGAAACTCCGGCAAGAGTAGTGGCATGGATGTGGCTGCAGCCTGCACATGATCGTTACGCTGTTGAATGGTCCGTGACACCCGGTTCTAAAGGTACTGCAGTTGCCAAAGCAACGTGGGCAAAGGCATGCATTCCACAGGTCCATGGCGGGAACGGGTTGAATGGCTGTCCCTTCGTTTAGACAACAAAAGGACACCACCAGCTAAGATCAAAACGCTTGCAGCATGATCTCTACGTCGACTAGTTACGAGCGGGCGCATCTGTGGCCAGCTACCCAGTAGAAGCTTCTGACGCCGATGCTTCTCTTATCCAGAGCCAGACAGTACATATTTACAGTGTTACTGAGGAATCGATGGCGACTGTGCTTGGGGAGGTGCTTCTTTGGACACGGTCAGGCGGTGTCTGTGGTGTTCTCTCTTCTTGCTCTTCTTCTTCTACTACTTCTTCTTCTTCACTCCTTAGCCCTCCGAAGAGGGCGAGCACGACGGCCAGGAGGGTTCGCGTACGCTCCGGAGACGTTCGGGGTTCGGGGGTGCAATCCCCCAGCGCACTTGGCTCTTTCCAGCGCTCATGGCCCCCCTCCCAGACAAGAGGACCTGCCCGAAGGCATATATGGGGGCTATATGGGGGAATAAGATTAAGGGTCCCTTGTAGGGGTCCCTCCTTTCACCCCTTAACTGCAGTAGTTGAAGATCGGCCCAGAGGGATGTTCCCCCCTTGTCCTAACGGTCCTAGGTAGGGAGCAGAGTACCTCCCCCAAACCCTAAACCCTAAAACCTAAACACTCTCTTTCATATATACATAAATATATATATATATATATACATATATATATATATATTTATTTATGTATTTGCATATTTATTTATTCATTTAAACCTCAATGGGGCTGTGGCCATTGGCAAAAAATCGTGGCAATTGGCAAAAATAAACCGTGGCCATTGGCAAAAAAGCCGTGGCCATTGGCAAAAAAACCGTGGCCATTGGCATACTTGCCAATGTCAACGAGAAAGTTGCCAATGCCCACGACTTTTTTGCCAATGGCCACGGCCCATTAAGGTTGATGGTCAAAATTGGTTTTTCGTTCCAAATCCCAACCTTAATGGGGGCCGTGGCCATTGGCAAGTAAACCGTGGCCATTGGCAACTTTGCTGATGGCCACGGACTTTTTGCCAACGGCCAGGTCCACCAATGGGCCAAAAAGCCGTGGCCATTGGCAAAAAGCCGTAGCATTGGCCCCATTCACAAAAAACCGTTTGCCAATGGCCACGGGTCTTTTGCCGAAGGCCAGCCTCTTCTGGCCCGACCCGCATTCTGAGCTCGAAACCCTGGGTCTGGGGCAGATGAGGGCTTCGACACCCCATCCCCACCCCTTATTCTTTCTTGTCTTGAGTGATTCCAGGGCGGGGTGGGGGAAACAAAAAACATGAGGTCCACAAAACTACTTGTGTTGTCAATCTGGACCAATGTCTCGTTGGTTCTAGGTCGGGTTGGGGGAAACAAGAAACGTCACCAGGTTAACAAAATAGGTTTGTTCTTGTTTGGCTGTTCCTGCCCGAAAACAAGAAACGACATGAGGTTAACAAAATTAGGCTGTTTTTGGGCTGTTCGTGCCCGGTACGAGGGTGGGGTGGGGGAAAACAGGAAACATGAGGTTAACAAAACTCGCCTCGGCTTCCTGCCGAGAAGCGTCTGGAGCAAGCAAACCCGGATCGGGCCTCCTTCCCCCTAACCCAACCCACCCCCGCCCCTCCCCCCACCCCCCCCCCCCACCCACCCCACTCCTCCCCCCACCCCCCTCCGCCTCGGGCCCCTCGAACTCAAACACCCTTAACCCCTTTAACCTACCCCCGGACCTGGACCCTTCCTTTCCTGTCCTAGGGCCGGCCCGGCTGCCGAGGCGGCGCGCGCAAGCGTTTATTTGGGCTGTTCGTGCCCGAAAACTCCAAAGTGCTTTTGACTTACTGGTTCACGCTGCCCCCCCTGTGGTTGCTTTAGAATTGGTGCCCCGGTGACCGCGCCTCCCGCGAGCCGATTAAGTGGTTCGAAGCTGGGATGGACCGCTCCATGAAAGAGTGAGGTTGGGGGACAGGGCTTGCTGATGAAAAATGCAAATTTTACATCTATTAATGTTTTGGGATTCTCTGGGTGGGTGGGGTTTTTTCTAGAGTCGAAACAGCGACCAGAGATTGCTCGACCCGGAGCTGCTGAACCCTAAACCCTAAGCCCTAAACCCCAAACCCCAAAACCCTAAACCCTGACCCCTAACCCTTACTATTTTAGCTATGCGGGTGCCAACAGTCAGCACTTGTCCTCTCCCTCTCCCTCATCCCTCTCCCTCATCCCTCTCCCTCATCCCTCATCCCTCATCCCTCATCCCTCATCCCTCATCCCTCATCCCTCATCCCTCATCCCTCATCCCTCATCCCTCATCCCTCATCCCTCATCCCTCTCCCTCATCCCTCATGTTTCTACCGTTTAGAGCTAAAATGCTGTACATGCTGTACACAAGGTCGTCTTCGGCTTCCACTGCCCGGTGAGTCCCGGCCTTTAGCTCAGCTCTCGGCTGTGCTTTGATTTTCGTGGTAAGGCTTTTTCACATACCTAATGGTTCAAAAAAGTCTAACGAGCTAATCTCTAGACACCGATGAGAAAGCATACACCAAGACGAAGCATCATGCCAGATATGCTGCGTCGTAAGGGTCTCTATGCTTCGCCCTGATGCTGCCCCTCTAGGTTGAGGCTTTGAGGGGGGGGCCCAACTAAAATGAAAATTGATCGGCGCGGGTTCGCAGCTAGCGGTGCGACACAGGTGTCAGAAATGAAATGACTCCTTCCCCTATAGAGAAAATCTCCTTGCCAACTCCTGCGAAAGTGCAGAAAGCTTGGCTGGAACCTGCAGCCGTGGAGGGTCCCCCTTGCCCCTCTTGCCTTTGCTTGAGCCTCTGCTCTCATCCTCACGGAGTCGTCCGGTTAGGCCACGGAAGAATTCTGGAGAGAAGTAAGTCGTGAATAACTTGACATTGTTTCCAGGGAAGCCGGATGATCTGCAATCCTACGAGATCTCGGCAGGTCGTGTGGCCACACAGACACACTGCACTACCACCTGCTTGAGTTCATTATCTAAGCTAATACGAATTGCAAGATTGAGTGCAGCGTCTCGATTCCCCAAGCATGAGCAGCTGCATCCCAAGGCCTGAAACAGTATACAGCGACCCCTAAACCGACCCTTTTGAACAAGAGGGACTAGGATTCAGGGGGGCGGATTCAGGGGGATTCAGGGGATTCAGGCGCAAGGAAGGCAGCAGCCCAAGCCGCCGCATTCAATCTTGCCTGCAGAAGGCATGGCAGCGTGCCTGGCAGCACTGAAGCAAAGCACGGCCACACTTGTCAACTGAACTTCACAACAAGAAGCCTGCTTTGATGAGAGACGTCGGTCAGATTGCAGACAAAGCAGGCCGCCTTGGAAGGAAGCATTTGTGGGGATGCTCATGGCGCGTCACTTACTTACTTCGATCTCTCAGCCCTGCCGGTAGATGATGCAATGTCTGCCGAAGGAGTCACGTTTGCAAGGTGCAAGTCTGGGAAACAAGCGATGGCACAACAAAGGAAACACATACGTTGCAACAGGTCTGTCCCTGGCTTCCTCTGCGGGCGCGAGTCTGAGGAGATCATCCCCTTCATGAGCGCAGAGATCTGGCCGCACATCGAGAATGGGTCTGAGTCCTGCCAAGCTTTACAAGGCTTTACAAGACCGTCGGAGACCTACGCGGGGACCTTCGAAATCCCAACCAACTCAAAATGAAGCTGCGCAAGACCCACCCACTACAGTCACTACGGATCTACCAGTTGTGTCCTGTCGCTGGCCACTTCGGGAACCTCGTGACAAAGAGCTTCCGTTTAATACTGAACATGGAAAGGCTCGTGGGATTGCGAGAGCTTGCGAGTCTTCAGTTGTAACAAAATGAACGATGCTGGACTGAGGTGACTGAGGTGACTGAGGCTCTTGGGGTTCCAAGACTCTGGAGCTCCTGAACATAAGGCGCCCACCTGTCTTTGAAGTTGTGGAGCTGCGTACCTGACACGTAATCGTTGACATTCATTGACACAGGAGGCTGCGGACTTGAAGACACCTGAAACCGGCGACAGCCCTCGACAGCCCTCGACCGGCGACGAGAAGCACGGCAGATCTGCCACAACCAGCAGACCACAATCGAACAGCACATCACAATCCACCCTCTGCAACGTTTACTCAGAACAAGACCTCCGTTTTTCTGGTCTCTCGCCCAATGGCCCATAAATCCTCAGCTGGGTACCCTGTGGCCAGTTCGTTTGCGACGGCGTGCCGAGCAGCTGGAAGATCCTCAGCAATGGCCCAAAGGCCCGCAGTTCCTACATGCTCCCACTCAGATGTTTGCCGACAGATGTCATAAAGGAAAAGAAATTGCAAATCCTGGCTGCATTTGCCTGAACCGCTGCAGTATCAGTGGGTATACGGACGATGCAAGCACATTCCTCGAGCTGATCTCCTTGCTACCCAGACGCTTAAACAACGTGCCAATTTCAGAGTCTCCTGTCACGGCGCTGCTTGCGAAGATGGCTGAAGAGTGTTCAAGGAAAGCTCCTACTCCAGACCAGATGCTGTGGGTATATCTGGCGCAGTTCTGCAAAACCCCGCCCCCCATGATCCCGTCCCTTGGACCCGCGATGGTTTTGCGGGAGGGCAGGCTTTTTGGGTTTTACGGTTTTCGGCTTTAGGGTTTAAAGCTTAAAGTTTTTGGGTGTCAGGGTTTTAGGGTGAGCTTGTAAGGTTGCTTAAGGCTTTGCAAGGGTGTTGTTTAAGGCCTTAGAAGATGCCTTTGAGGTTTAGGGGCTGAAGGTGGGTCTAGGGTCTGGGTTTAGGATCTGCACGTTTCAGGTGTAGGGCTGTGGGGAGGGCTTAAGGACTATTCAAGCCTCTGATAGCTCCCTGTGAAGTTGAACAACCTGCAGTTCAACTACGACTCGAGATGGTGATTTGGCCCAGCCAAAACAACTTTCCGGCGAACCAGCCCACTGCGAAGCGATGTACCACTGAGCGCGCGAAGGTGGCCTGGGAACAAGGGGCGGCCGGTGGACATCTCCGCGATCACACAGCCTGCCGACCAGAGGTCCTGCGCAGCCGATGGGAAAAAGACGCAGGCAGCCTGTTTTTGCAGCTTTTCACGGGGGATGGAGGATACGTACTTCCTTGCAAGGTTGTTGCATCCAAGCTGCCACTTCATATCCATAGCCAGTTGCACCAAGGAGGAGTTCTGGACTCCTGGAGGGGTCTCCACGGCGCCACGAAGCATGAGAGGTCTCCCAACAGTTGTGTAACATTGTGCTATGCTATGCTATGCCATGCTATGCTATTTTATGCTATGCTGAGTTGTTTTGTGGAGGGCCACCGCACCTGTACCAAAGCGTCACCACTTCCAGCGTCAGCGGGTGGTGCTCCTTGTTCACACGCGCCAAGCCAAAGTCTGCCTCAAAGTGTCGAGTCTCAGAGAGAGAACAAGGGAGAGGCAACGAGGATTGCAAAAAAGAATGCGTGGAAGCTTCAAAAGGGAAACTGGCTGTTCAGTGCGGGTATTTTTTGCTCAACACGTGCTGTTGTGGTGTGTTGTTGTGTTTCCTCCAGGGATAATCCGATAAGATTGGGACGATACGAAAGGATTAGCATGGGTCCTGCGAAAGCATGACACGCGCCTAGCTCCGCCTTCGTCGCTGTACACGTCCTTTTGCATGACGTTCACGCCCCGCCACCGGAACGACCGAGCTCTGCCTAACATCAACAGTTCCCTGAGAAGCCACCGTCCGAACTGATCGGAAGGAGGTCGCTGCCATCAGTGAGCCTGTGCCAAGACAGGCTTTTCCTACTGCCAAGCTGAGTAATGACCGCCCACGTTGTTAAGCGAGAAAGCCTCCCCTGCAGGTAGATAGCTGCTACACCAGCTGTACCGCTGCTGCGAGCGAAGCGCATGCTGCCTTGTCTTCGCTTGTTTTGTTGAACCGACTGCTCTGGCTCCAACATGCCAGGCCCTGCAGCGGCTTACGGCACCATAGCCAACTGCACTACTAGCGGCCACCCTGCCCGAGACGAAGCACAACAAGCTCGGCCGCATGGTGACGAGGAGGACACTGCAACATACTGCAACGTAATGCGCATGAGGGTGGAGGTTCTCTCAAAACTGCCCCTCCCGCACCGGGCGTTGCTACACGCCGTCCACGAGCTATGGAAGACTCGATGTTGGAGAGGGTCCAGGCTGCACTGGCAGAGAGACGATAGCAAAGGGGCCCATCTTACTCTAACGACCGAAGCGCGGGTGCCCCCCAAATCATGGACTGCGTAAGTGTTGGTTCGGGCTTACGCCCACGGGCTTCTGAAATACTTCGCCCCGACGGTAACCCGTGGCGCTCAGAGACGGCTAGAAATCGGAAGGGCCACACTGTCAGTTGAGATGAGATGCCACGTACACCATCCCAGGGGAAGCACCAGACTTCCCGTTAGTTCGACACTGACGACCTGTTTGCTGTGATGGTAAACCGCACACGTCCCGTAGGCATCGCTGCTTCAACCCAACTCCACGGATTTTACGGCCCTTTGCCACGCAGCAAAGACTTACCAAGTGTGGGACGCCACTAGACTTTCAAATTTTCCCAGTGGGGAACCCCCCCAAAAAAAAAACCTGACGAAAAAACAGACTGCCTGAATCTGTCCGCCCCCAACCCCCCCCCTCGGACTTCGGCCCCTTCCGTCTGAAGCTTCAAGCGTTGTCAAGGTGTTTTCAGGGTTTCAGCAAGAACCTCATGGTTCAGTTCTATCCGGAGTTTTCTGAAGGCTGGCGCCAGCACAGTTGGGGTCTCCGGACCGTGGTGCCATCTCATCTGAGGATGCATTAAAGGATCACTATCCGCCCTCCATTCTGGCTTGGGGGGATCGCTGAGTTCGGGCTCTTCAGAGTTGCATTGGGGGCTACATAGGGGCTTAGGTTTCGGGGCAGGTGTGCATTTAAAGGATGGCTGTTTTTCATGTGTTCTTCTAGGTTGCTTTCGGGATCTTACATACCTTGGGTGCCCTCACCCAAGGCTGAGGTTGAAGTTATAAGATTACATGAGATCATCACCTTCGCGGAGGTGCTATCTTCAGGACCCCGTCGGCGCCAAGCAGAATGTTCTGAGGTTTCAGGTCGCGGTGAAGAAGTTGCCTGACCGCATTCGGAAAAGAATGTGACAACGGACCACCCTGCTTCGTGCAAGCACCCGGCCTGTTGTGACACGCAAAAATGCCGTCCAGGATGTTCGAAGAGTATTGTCTAACTTGGTTAATTGGCATACCTAAGCTGATGGTTGCTTTGGTCAGAGCGATTGCAACTCGGCCTCAACAGCCTGCCACAACCTCCGTGATAGAATGAGAAAGCCGTGAAGACTCGAACAGCCATGTCTTCGAGCACTTGGGCACATCCGGGATGTGCAGGGAGCAGGTGTTTGCCAGCTCATCCGACACCACACTCAAAGACTCCAATACAGCGAATCATGGCAAATCCCTTTACACGTCCCCTGTGCCCGGGTTGCGCCGGGAACTCTGCTTCCACAGCGTGAGCACCTTGTGAAGGTCAGTCGGATGAAACTCGAAGACCATGTGAATGTCCTGGTCAGAATGCAGCGCATCAGAAGCAAATCTTGAAGTGAAAGTGAGGTGTTCATTCGCATCCACATCAAGGAAGTGGGGGCATGCCAAGCTTCGTTACGCCCCACATCCACATCGAGCAGCCGCACCACGTTTGGATGCCTTGGCATGCGACCAGACGCGTGTGCTGGCACAAGAGTCTCACGGACGCAGGACTGCGAGCAATCTCCAATGTTTACATGATCCTTTGTTCCTCCATCTTCCCGGACCGCACAAGACCCACAGTCACATCTCCACTTCAGTCCTCGCCACTTGAATTTTCGCAGCACTGACATCTCCCGCACTGCGTGAGCTGGGATGCCGTCCACCCACACCTGATAGGCATAAAGCTGTGCTTCAAACACTGATCTCTCACGTTTGTCCTCCTGCTGAACGTGCTAACCGTTTCGGAGACAGGCTGTGGAAAGAATCTTCGCTGATGCAATGAGCTTCCGAATCGGCGCTGCAGAACAAGCCTCTGGGTCATACGTCAGCTTCTTAATGGCCACGACATGCTTGGTGTTCCTTGTCAGACTTCTCAATCCACAGAAGCAATGAGTAAGCACAAAAGGTTCCAAAGACCTCTACAAAGCCCACTGCATCATGTTCTGAACAACTCAAACTAGCTTGTGCAAGGCCAGCCACATGTGCTCGGCTCTTGTGACCTCGCCGTAGACACCCTTGCCGAGACCCTCCAACACCAAGTAGTCACCGTGCAAGCTGAGACCTCTACAGGTGCAAGATCGTGTCGGCAGCTGATGAGAATGCAATGTGTTTTTATGTGTTTTTGAGCCACCGAACGACGAATGATAAAGTCAGAAATTCCCAAATCCTCTCAACATGCAGCTCTGAGAGGCCTCGTCCCTCCTGCAGCGCGCGGAGACCCGCATGTCTCGCGATGATCTCCTGCAGCAAGAAGTGAGACTGAGAAAGCGTTTCATGACATCCCTTTCGCGATTTAAGGGCCACAATGCGAAGGAAAAATGTCCAGCATTGCCTCAGTATCACCTGTGGTTGATTGTGCTTGTTGGCAGCTGGGGCAGCTAGGGCAGCCTCTGAGGGGGGGCAATGGTACTTCACCTGAATCTCCAACAGTCACAGTTCTGAGAGAAAACAAAACTCGTTTCGAGCTGACTTCGGCGTAACAATGTGTCACTGCTTGATGCTTGAAGGAATGTGCCAGAGCTACTCCAAGGAAAGAGCGCTGATGGCCGAGTCGTCAATAAGACTAAACGAGCTTTGCTGCAGTAAGCTTCTCTGTCTCCTCGCTAGCGAAGTGAACCGCAGATCCAGACTGGGCGACCTGAAAACGCGCTTCATGTTCGGGCTGTGGACTCTAAACTTCCGCCACATGTTGGAACCAAGAGTGTACCAAGCAACCGCGGCGAGCACGATCTCTTCATCGGCCAACAAGAAAGTCTTCGCATACCTCGCATAATTGTCTGTAAGACCAACCTTCTCTTTTGCCTTTGAAGCTCTGGATATCACAATGCAGCCACGTTTGGCACCAGCTCAACGTGCAACATGATGATCAGCCCAAGGCACTTCAGCGCATGCCCGTCCTCTCTGCACATGGCGCAGAAGCTGCTGCACCCCCAAAGTCCCCCTGCTCAGCCTCCCCGACTATCCTACTGATCAGACTGCTGACACTGACAGGCTTTCCTCAGCTGTTGCGCAAAACTTCACTCAAACTACTCAGTAACCACTCCTGCTTGACGGCTGCCAGGACAATCTCCCGGTCTCCCTGGAAGGTCGCATCAAGGAACCTGCAGGAGGCAACGTATGGCAACGTATGGCAACGTGCAACAGCCTAGAAGCAAGCGCAGATACATGCAGATACGTGCCCCAATGAACTGCGAAAGAAACATCAAAGATGCTCCTGATGCTGCAGCCCAGGTTCTCCAGAAGTCGTCCTTTATGACTTACAGCAGCTTCAGCTGTCTGCCGGTCACCCCAGACCTGCCAGGGATGCGGGAAGCTCACCATCCCCGGCCATCCCCGGCCATCCCCCCGCCCCTTCCGGCCACTCCAGACACTGAACTTCGGATGGGGAGACAGGAAGAACTGGGAACAGACGGGAACAGATGGGAACAGATGGGAACAGCAACGTTGATCCAGAATGAACCCCAGAACCAGTGCAGCGCATCTGCGCGCGTACTGTACGCGTACTGTATAGTTCTCGACAAGACTCGCCTTGACCCCAACACCTTTGGACGGCATGGACGAAAGTAACGGCAAGGTCAAGGCAAATGCTTTTGGCATACACCAGGCCCATGACATGACAGCTCTTGAGTGCCTCCTTGCAGTAGTCCTCCGCACCCTCCGCATGCATCAGCACGCAGGCAATCATCATCTGTACCATAGGGTCAGGGTGGTAGAGCAGTCCTTAGCGTGTTCCCTGTCGCCATCTATGCTATGCGCTGAATTGAGTGTGGCATCAGTTCCACAAATTCCCCACACCATCCCACATCTCATTGCTCCAGGTATCGGTTCAGGCTCTCCACTGTGTCGCTGTCGAATCGTGGGCTGATCTCCGAGAGCCTTGAGACCAAGGGATACCAAGGTGGCCATAAAGTATCTCTCAATATGTCTGAAAGGGTGCAGCTGATCTTGGAACAAGTGCCTCAGCCGTGGAAGGAACTTCAACCAGGTAGCAATTGGATTGCGGCTCGCTTGACATCCCAAACGGGATCATTCAGCCTTGGAAAGCAAGGTGCAGGGCGTCGCGCCGCCTGTAGAGCGCATCATCCTAGAGGATGACTCTGCTTGTCAAGCTACCCCAGTACACCTGTCGAGCCGCGGTTTTCCTGCACCCACCTCAAGCCCCACCTTCTACAACATCAATTCCTTCAAACCTGCAAAAACTGCAGCAGGAAGCATCGTGATGACTCTGCCTGAGTGGAACTGGCTGATGCAGTCTTTGCATTCGAAAGTATGTCTGAAGCCTGTTCTTCGGTACAACAAGTACACAAGTGTACATAGCGCACACTTGAGGACAGTAAGGGAATCCTAAGTCGGCGCGCACTTGAGGACAGTAACAGGGAATCCTAAGTCTGGCATGGCGAACACAGGAGGCTGCGTACCAAGCGTCGGAAAAGCATCTTGGCTTCATTCTCGTCAGTCATCTCAAATATACCGCGGTTGACGGACTCAAGGGCAGCCACGCGTTGGGTAGCATCATCCCGCGACTCCAGCATATTGACGAACTGAGGCAAATCCTGGGAACTCTGAGATGTGCATCATGTACGTGAACGCTGAACATCCGGCTGCCGAGATGCCAGGCTTCTCGGAGCTTCGGTCATGTCCGGAACTTCCTCCTACATCGCGCAGGGATCGATGCTTTCCAGGTTAGTCCAGGGACTACAGTTTTCCACAACTTGAGACCGGTGAGCTGATGAAAGACCAGTGAAACCGTTCCGTTTCAGTGCGACACGCATCCCGTCAAAATGTAGCAAACCCGTTGTCCGATCCAGTCACTGGTTGTGTTCCGGATGCTACCGAATGCTCCGTTACGGCTTGCCCCTAGTAACCTGTGTGACATCCTGTCATCCCGTGAGACAGTCCTGAAACATCGCTGCAATCGCGGAGGTCTCACCTAGCCATGGGGCTTCCAGTCTTACAGCGATGCAGCCAGTCAGCAAGCAAATTCAACAAGATGATGCTCAAGAAAGGGCGCCGCGAAGAGCCCTAGAGAACCCTAGGAAGCTCAGGATGCTCAGCTGCTGCCTCCACTCTGGAGTTTGGGGTTCTGGCTTTAGTGGTTGAACTCAACATAGCCACAAGAGTCACAAGAGTGTGTCCTTCATTGCGGCCATGTATCCACCGATTAGTTTGCGAGGTGTGACAGATGTGACCAGCCTTAAGGCATGCCAACGGACAATCCGCAAATGGTCTGATACCTAGCACAGCACATTGTAAGTCAATGTGCCTCCAAGCTACGTGTTGGCTGGTTGCACCAAGACGTCAAACGCTCCCCCGCACACACACAAAGCGTCAGGCGCAAGGAAAGGCACAGGAACCCACGTTTAACTCGGGGCTGATGAGCTTTCGGATGCTTCCGAGATTGGGATATGTAGCATCGATCTTGATGGAGCCACTAGGCAAGAAACTAGGCTTGACTCTGGACACCTGAACAGTGTCCAAATCAACTTGCAGCCTTGAGCAGATGTGCAGCAGTAACAAAGGAACACACGGTCACCTTGCGTCAATACCAGGCACCCCCTCATGGAAGTCGCATAAAGCCAAGCACTGCAATCACAGAGCAGGCCCATGACTGCCCGCAAGTCTTTTTGTTCGCATATTTGTCAGAAGGCTGTGAACCTTTCACGCTAGCTGTCGACAAGAACCCTGAGAGGAGAAACCGGAGAGGAGATAGGCTTTTGAGCAATGGTGTCTTAGTTTACGCGTCTTGCAGGTCCTTTAAGGGCACAAGTTGATCCACTATCAGAGGCTGATCAAGAATCTGCCCGTTGGAACAACATGCCTCTCATAGCTCTTGTAGCACGCTGCGGTTGATGTCACGGTTGTGTTGCCGAGAACCCCCCAATCAGACACGCAGTCAAACACATAACACACTGAGGCTTTGTCAAGTTGAACCATGCTTTGATGCATCTTGGCCTGGACTCCAAATGCTTGGATCTTCTATTCCTTCGTGAAATGCTCTCGGCATCCTTGGTCAACTGGCTCTCCGCCACATGTTAGATCCATTATCTCCGTGGGGCAGCCGTTGCTTGCAGAAGCCCACATCGTTCTCCGAATCCAACCCTTCAATGTTTCCAACTGCATGTCAACTGCAAGTGCAGTCTTCCTGCTCGGCTGGCAACTCCACGGAAGCTGTCGCCCTGAAACGTGCCCTGCCCATGAGTTCTAAACCCGACAGATCTCGTCACGCTCCCGTAACTCAGAAGCTTCAGGTGGAATGAGATGACTCAGATGACGCCGATGAGGGTTCCGTCACTCCTCGCGCTGCAATATCGAGCTGGCAAGCGCAAGCAGTGCGTGAACTTAGAACCAAACTCTCAAAATGAATCCACCTGCTATGCACATGGTTCCTTCAGAGTGTGTTCCAAAGCAGCTATCTACATGTCAGGGCTTGGAATGGGGCTGGGCTGGGGTCATGCGTGCTTTTCCCTGACAACACCCTGCATGATGAAACCAAAGTCCTCCCAGTGCAGCGTGAGGGTGCAGCAGGTTTAAAGTGGGAGGGCTCCCTTTTCCCCCGCAAAAACCCTTGATGCATCGAAGTTCACCCAGACATTCAGAGACTTATGAGCTTGCATGATTGATCGCTTGCGCTACACAGTGGGTCCTTGGACTTGTCCTTCTTGTTCTTCCTCGGGAAATGTTCAAACCCATGGCAGGCAAGCCGACTGACTCAGAGACCTGCCTGCTACGTGGATGCAACGCATTGCAAATTACAGGCAAACTCTAGCTGCGCATCATTGCGTCTCTTTGTCCCAGCTGCTTCTTGCCAGCGTCCTCATCCCTTGTCTTCCTCAGCGACACACGTGACACATGCTTTAACGCCGTCCTCTGCACAGACGTAAGCAAGTACCTCCAATGGGCCTGACTTGTCTCCCACTATGCCAAGACTCTCCTTCTCTTTGTGTTTGTCTTTTGCGTTCTCCTCATCTGCCTCAGACTTGTCCTGTCGCCGGTGCAGACTTCCCAAGGTCTGCCTTCTTCCAAGAACATACAAGTCCCCGCGAGTCCTTGGCTCTCTCCTTTTTGGCCTTCCTGTGTTGAGATTCGGCTCCAAAGAAGTCTACCACTCGATGACACTGTATGACTTGACTGCGCAGGGACTCTACATTTCAGTTTAGCTGACCAAGGCTGCTTCTACAGGTACGAAACCTTCAAAGCGAGGTCTTTGAAGCAAAGCGTCTTTTTTGCATCTTTGTGGTCTTCATGCTTCTCCCTCTCCTTTTCCTTCTCCTTCTCCTTCTCCTTGGCCCTGTCTTTCTCCTTCTCCTTCTCCTTCGCCTGCTCGGGGCTCTCACACAGCGGTTAAACCCTGAAGGCGTGACAACTACTGGCACAGCCCATGTGAGCATATTCCAAACCGTCCTAGGAAGTGCGCTGATGATGCTCAGTGCGATGCCTTTTCCTTCTCCTTCGCCTTGTCCTTCGGCTTGCTGTCTTCCTCATGGTCCTTCCAACTCTGCGGCGTTACACCTTGAATTCGCCTCGGCCCCGGCCGCGGGCGTCAGAGCTTTCACAGGAAGCCTTGCTTCCCACCTCGAATCCCCCCCCAGGGACGTACTCAAACTGTCCGTCCCCACGCCTAGAATTTTACAAGGGCCTAAACAACTCGGCTCCCAGAGCCGAGACGAAGCGCCCTCCAAAGTTTCTCGAGGGTCACTAGATATGCGAAGGAGGCTCTTAAAAAAGGGTATCCGTAGACATTTCTATGCTCAGGACCACCTCAAGCCCTGCCCCAATCGGGACGGCGGATGGGTTTGCGACCCCCACACCCTACCGCCACATCATAGCGACACCGCAACCGAGGCAGGGTGGGACTCCAAAAAGGCCCTAAATTGACCCGAAACCGGCGCTAAACCCTGAACATCCCCGAGCCCTAGGCACGGGCCGGGCCGAGCGCCTTCCGTTTCTTCTTCTTGCGGCGGCTGTAGCTGCTACTTCGGCTACGGCTGTAGTCACTGCTGTAGCCTCGGGCGCAAGGCTCATGGGAAACCATGGCCTGAGGTCACATCCCTATAGACCGAGTTACTTGAGCCTTGGCGCCAGTTCCTGATACAGATACAGCCGCTCTGAGCCATGAGCTGGATCTCCGCCTCTTTCGCTTTCGCTTGGATTCCTCACTGTCGGAGTCACCTAAGCGTGCAAGGACCCCATGTTTCTTCTTTTGAAAGCATCAAGCATCACTGAAGCATCTGTGCAGGCATTGCAGCACTGCCTGCAGGCCCAGATCCATCTTCAGAGAAGCTCATGAGCCTTCCAACATGTCTGCGAAGATTATCCAACTGATCCGGAAATCTGAGCTAGCAGCTAGGAGACAAGTTGAAAGAACTCCAACTGCGTACGTTGCCAAGTACCCAAGTTGCTTTGTGGAACAGCCTTCGTGTCAAACTGCAACAGTAAATGGTTAGCTGCCATCGACCCTGTGAGCACTCGCCAAAATTTTCGTTCACACAGAAGCAGACAGACATCTAACTCGATGCGTGAATGTGAAATGCGTGCGTGGGCACTCACATGCTGAACACATGCATGCCGCGGAAGGTATGAGACAAGGATCGATTAACCAGTGGGACACGTTGGTATGAGATGTTTGTTGTATGGACTCGGCTGTTCTGTCTTTTGGCTTGCAAACATAGAGAAAAGCTGCCAAAGCGGAATTGTTGTCCTGAAAATCTTCTTACACATTCGTCCATTTCCTCTGTGGCAGTCGCCCTAAGCTTGTGGGATCTTCATCGTTGTTTAAGTCTCATCAGCGCGATGCTTCGGCTAAGCCCTTTCAGACGCACCTTTCAGAGCAAAGAGGACGAACTTGCATGCTAGCGCATTGCTCGTGGGGAAGCGTCGTGCGCAGAGTAACGGCAACTGGCTGTGTTGGCCAGGTGGCGGCCAGGTGGCGGCCAGGTTTAGGGTTTAGGGTTAGGGTTTAGGGTTTAGGGTTTAGGGTTTAGGGTTTAGGGTTTAGGGTTCAGGGTTCAGGGTTTAGGGTTTAAGGTTTAGGGTTTAGGGTTTAGGGTTTAGGGTTTAGGGTCTAGGGTTCAAGCCTATGGCAAGCCTCACAGACGATGCCAGGCCTACACCTGCCGAGCAGTACTTGTTTTTAGCAAAGTCGAACCAAAATAATGGGCCTGCTGTGCTGTAGACTCTTCTGCTGCTCCTGCGCAGACTCGGGAACACGCAGATGATTGGCGTTGCTAAGGACTGTCAAGCCGCAAGCCAACACGAATCTGGCCCGACATCCCAGTATGCGCCGTTCCTTCTTGAAAAGGTGAAGGTTGGCCATCACCATGCCCTTGGTCTCCACGGGAAGATGGGGGTGCGCCGGCATTCAAGGTTTATGACGGTTAAGGGCCAGGGAGGGCTAGGGCAGCTAGGGTAGGGTTTGGGGTTTAGGCCTTATGCGGCTGATACTGCAGCTGAGGCACCTTGATCTGCAGTCCGACCTGCCACCGTGGTATGGGGTGGTGAAAGCGTGGAAGGCAGCAGCATTGGCAGCAAGACATTTTGCCATTCAAACAAAACCTTCACAGCAGGCACAGAAACTTTTGGCCTTTGAGTTCATGCCAGAGGTGAACTGAGAGGACTTCACCTGCAAAGAGTGCTTCAACTTGCCGAGACCTATCTTCGGGCTCAACCTCGCAGAAGCGGTGACAAAATGCCGACACCAAGTCTCGTGAAGGCAACAGGAGTCACTGCGACTCAAAGCAACTCAGAGTGTGAAGCCCACGCCGAAGACCTGCGACTGCCCTCGAGATGAATCAAGATCACGCACGTTCTTCACCAAGGTGCGATGTCGTAGATCGCCGGCATGGAAACACGGCCCTTGGAGGCTAGAACTAGAGCCTGGCCAGGCTTGCAAGAATGCATAAGACTGCCAGATGCACATTGTGACATCGAAGCCCTGTTTGCAGACTTTGCATCCTGTTCAGGAGTCCTACGGCTGTCCCCGCGACGTAAACAACTTGAATCCAAAGCGATTCGTCCCAAAAGTGACCTCAGCTTGTGATTATTCTTTGCCTTGTGCAGCCACTTCAGCCGACCTTCTGGTCGTTTATGGACAACCTACAGGAAGCTGCAAATCGGATGATGCATCCAGGAACACATCTACAACTGGTGCAACACATGTAAGCTCCTTGAGCCATGCCTCCCGCTTGTCCATTGCCAGATCCGCTGCTTCCTTCTTTTCCTTCTCTTGCACCTGACATCTCGCCGGCATGATATTCATTTGTCGGGATTGCCGTGCATGCTTAGGGCGCCTGATTTGAAACACTCTACTCGGCTTGAACATTCACGAGCTAGATCTTCTGGCACTTGCCCACCCAGTGTTGAGCTGTTCCACAAACATCAGATCAACATGTCAAAGTCTCTCGAGGAAGGTCCATGCATGTCCATGCAGCAGCTCTCGCTGGCAGGTCAGCGCGCGCATTGCTTACATGAAATGATGTAGCGTTCCAGACAGTGATGCTTTGTTGATGCATAGACCTTTGCTACTGGAATGCACTTGTTTTCATGCACAGATGCTTTAGAAAACGCACGTTTGCCAGCATGGTCACAAGGATGTCAATGATGAAATGGAAGCGATGCGATACACACCACACTAAACCAAGATAGGAAGAACTTTTAAACGAGTTGAGAAAGACACAAAGGGGCATGGAGAATGATTGGTGCCGGTGCACCATGGCACACAAAGGCTATCTTGAAACAGTGCCGCAGTGTCCTACCCAGTATGCCCACCGTACGAGTATCCGAGTAGACGTTGGGGCAGAGGCACGCAGCAGATGACACTTCTTCTACGAGCAGGAAACTCCAGGGAAAATCAGCAAGACATCAGATCCAAAGTGCATTGAGTCTATACGGTGATCCATCTAATGTACTGCAAGCTAGGAGGGCAACATCAGCGCAGGCACCTCGTCCACCTTGACTTCTTTCTTGTGGCGCCGAGACATGACCTCATGTTGCAGGTGGCTGCTGCTCAAGCCAAAAACCGAGTGGACAGACTTGCACATCCTAGGAACCCAAAAGCCACGACATCAAAGAAGGTGTTCTATTCGGCAATGGCTTCACATTCACAGAGGGCTTTGATTGCAAGCTTGCTTCTGCCCACAGCCATATACTTGCTCGTCGGTGCCTCCCCTGCCCATTGCTCGTCGACTTTGGTCGGATCTATGCCCGCCTCGGTTATGGTTTGAATGGTTCTTCATGCTCTGCGTGGTAAGCTTAGCTTCTGAAGCTGGAAAAATCCTTGTCAAGCAGCAGCACGCATCCGGAGCTCGTCACCCTTCTGCCTCTGGGCTTCGCTCCTGACGGTGGCGCAGGTGGCGCAAGCTGGGCATTGTTCTCCACATGTTCAGCTGCGAGCACTGCAGCCTGGAGATCATGACCCCACTGCTGAAAGAAGCCATCTTGACCGACTTTGAGGTCATCTCTAAGTTGCTCCCATATGAGCTCTTGCTATGCTATGCTGCTTGCGCTAGTCTGGGGCTACTTCACTTCTGGGCTCAGGGTGGGCGGGGCTAAAGCTTCCAGCGTCAGCGAGTCAAGTTGTACTGTGCTCCTTTGTCGGGACTTGCCGGGAGGGGATGAACCAAGTAAGCTTCAGCGTGCTTCTCGGGGCATAGTGCTTGACATGTGGTTGAAAGAAACCCTGCAAACTCACATGGGCATCTTGTCATCCTGTGGACGGCTGCGGGGACCAAGTCTAGCATCTTCCGTGCGCGAACGATATCACTGCAGACGTAGGGTAAAGGCAGTGGCAAACATGTCTTGAAGATGCGCATGACCGTCTAGCACTGTGACTTTGGTAGGGTCATAAACGGTGTGAGACTGTTTCATCGGTACTTCTCTCCATCTTGATCATACCTTCAAAACCCTTTGAGGGTGTCAGCCCCGCTTCCCTTCCACAACTGAAAAGACTGCTTATTTCTTTCGCCATGGGCAAAGCAGCATCGTTGCTAACTCCCCGGACACCTGCATCATGACAGCTCCAGAAATCATGGCAGCTGCCCATGCTCAACTGTTAAGTGCGCGATTGCAAAACAGAATGATCTCGAGCCTGTTCAGTTCGTGAAGCTTTTGCCTGCAAGGACATGAAACATCCAGAACAAGCCACACAGAACTCCAGAGGCCCCAGAGTTGCTAACATCACAGTGTCAACATGTCTCAACACTGGCCTGCTCGAGAGCAGTGATCAAGCAGCAGCTTCCACGTCCGCCTCCTCCTTGGGATCCTGTCGTAAGCTCGACCCTCGCACCCATCACCTCTAAGTATCCGCGCTAACGTCGGGTCCTTCTCCAATCCCTTCGCACCATCGTCCTTGTCATCTTTTTCCCTGCCGCTAGGACAACATCGCTTCGAGGAGCGAAGAGGAACCCGGCACACTCACGCACCCTCAAAGCATCAGAAAGCATCAGCTCCTGACCCGAGCTCCGGGCGCTTCTACGAACTCGCTTCGGTGAGTCATCCGGAAAAGACCGGCGGCCAGCAGTCCCCCGAAAAGCTCTGAAAAGAGCAGGGCCTGCAGCAATCCCCGGGGCAGGCTATGTTCGTTGATGTTCGTTGCTTGGCCATCACTGAGGCTTGGACCACCCAACTTCCAACAGGACCCATACCTGGGATGCTGGCAGCTCTCAGACACATGCAAAAAAAGGCTAAAACATGGCCAGACTGCAGAGCAAAGCCAATTCAGAGCCAAGTCACCCCCCTTGCCTTGGTTGCTTCGCAGAGGCATGTGCGCAGAGTTGAAACAAGAAAAAGGCGCTGGTTACAAGCCGAGGTCTATCAGACCTAGCCGCCCGGATTCACGACATTTCCGATCATCAGGCCAAGGACGACAGAAGGGTTCAACTCACCTTGCGCCGGTGCTTGCTGACATGAGCTGACTCCACCGAGCTCAATCGGAACAACTCCAATCGACTCCAACTGCTCTCCTACCGGCAAGCGAGACACCTCCAGAGACGGAGCCTACGGCAAAGCTACCACCAGTGACGGTGGAGGCAATGATGAGGCCAAAAAGGTCTTTTGCGTGGGGCTCCTGTATGCAAGCTGAATCGCTACCTGTCGTGGTCACAAAAAAGCCTTTTGAACGCGGTCCCTCACCGTGGCGATGCAGAGGACAACGTAGCCCAAAAACCTTGGCTGTAGCCAGAATACACATGCTTCTCAACCCTATGCTGCAACCATCTTCACCTGGGCGCTTTAGGGAGCCAAGGGTCATAGTGACGATCAGTTCAGCGATCGATGCCTCTGCACAGGGAAGCTCGTTCCCTTGACGGGAGATGACATGCGCAGGCCGAGTCGCCATGGGGACTTGATGCCAGCCCACGGCCACGACGCAGGTTTGTCGGGCATACGCTTTTCTCTATTCTTGAACTTTGCGGCAGGAACTGCACCAGTTGTGGTCCGCTGTTTTGACATCCAGGCCAGTGGAACGGGTCTTCTGCTGTTCTCAACTTGGGTCCTCTGGCCGTTGGCCAGAAAGTCGTCTGCAGCTCAGAAGTCTCCCATGGCATTTCAGTTCTCAAGATCCCACACAACACCTTGCTACTCACTGACAACTGTCCGTCAGGCAGCTGTTGACAACTTTGTTGGCAGCAAGCGCAGGCCTGCACCAGGTCGAAGCCCCTTCCCGGGACCAATCTGGGCATCACGCGAGTTGCATAATTGCATACGACCCACTTCCAAGTTGACAGACTTGGCAAAATACCTGCTGAAATCGCTATGTTTCAGAGCAATCTGCCTTTATGCAGCGAGAGGCTTGATCGACTTGTCCGCAACTGCAGAGCCCATGTGGTAAGCAGCATAAACCTTATGAAGGCTTATTGTGTCATGCTGTGAAAGGCATGTGAGCCGTGTGAGTACTGACTACTTGCAAACTTTCACCATCCTTCACTCATGCGATGTAGCGAAGCAGCCATCAGCATTCTTCCGGATGAGTTACGTACGTCGGGCTTCAGTTTTAGTCCAACTTTCATGCAGTCCGAAACACCAGTCCTGCAAGCAGACCGCCAGCAATCTGAGCCAGGACGTAGCCTGGCGAAGCGTTTGGGATCGGGTTTGGTAGTTGAAAACTTCATCAAAAAGTATGTTCAATCCCCACGCAACGTGTCAACCTTGCTGAAGCCTGATGACGTGCGGATGATGTGCCGGATCTCCCTTGAACCAGCCCATAGTCAATGGCAATTTGAATGCTAACCCAGCCTGCAGCATCACGTCGCGAGATCTTCTCACGGCCACCAGCAAGCACTGCCACAGTGACCTGGAGGCACCGCAGCTGTGCAGTTTTGATAGGAACGCTGCGCATGTGTGCACCCCTTTGCGTTGCAACGGAGCTATGGTGCCACAGTGCAACGGTGCCAACGGCGCAACGGCGCATGCCATCACAATTACATTTGCGGAGCGCAACGATCAACGCCAGTCAGGTGAATATGATAGATCTGGGATTGCTGCCGCTGGGTTCAGATGGGCACCAGAGACATTTCCCAGGGAGTAGATCATGCACCTTGGAAATTGGCTCCATACGGTGCCGGGACCCTCTGTACATCTCTGTGCACCCCGGGAAGGGCAGTATGAAAGAAAGTAAACCATGTGGGAACGAGGCTGGCTATGAGTACCAAACAAGAAGTGGGATGTCAGGCTGTTCGCATATGCTCGTCTCCCCCACAAACACTTCCACGACTCCGACAAAAGCACATGAGGGCAGCAGCGGCAGAGTAGGCTGTGGCACGAGATCCGCTAACCTCGCTGCTCAACCACATTTAAGCACGTGCTGCTCTGCAAATCTCCACCGAGGCGAAGGAAACACGGCGGAAGAGAAGCGAACGTATTCAAGGTGAAGCTTGCGGCAAGGTGCGATGTTCAGGCCAACCGTCACAACCAGCATAAACGTCCCAAATGCTTCCTTTGGTAAGCAGAAGAAGAGAAGCTGCTTCCAAAACATGGGCTCTGCACTACACTACAGGTATCTTCACTGCAACTGCAACACGAGAAACGGGTTGCATTTCGAGCTCTTGGCCCGAAAATTGCAAGACCAGGCACAGCCAAACAACGCGTCTTGAGATCTGGCTGGTCACCAGACTTGCCAAACCTCAGTATTCTTCTACAGTTCATGGGCTTGACTCCTGCAAGTTCCTCAAGGCCGGATGGCCAGCACGCTACGCCGCTACTAGTACGTTTCTACGCATCCCAGCAGCTCCTCCGGCCGCAAGAGACGGTAAGCTCCAGCAGCCACGGCAGCACCGCCGAGCTCCGCTCCAAACCAGACCAAGGCCCAGTGCGGGTCCTTGCAGTTGCTTTGCAGATGTTGACTCTTTAACTCTTTAACCTCTCTCAGACCACTTAGACAATGCACTTGGACACAGTGTAAGTTCAACGTAAGTTCATGCAGGTTTCCTTCCCGCTGCCCAGGCCCAAAGTGACGGAGACCGCCGGATTGAGAGCAGCCCCGGAGATGCGCCTAAATCCCCAACCGTGCAACGGCAGCAACGACTGCTAGGCTTGGCAGCGCTGTGTGCGTTCTGTGCCTTGTAGCTACCACAACTTCACAACCACATGAGACTCACGCCTGTTCAGAAGTGTGGTGCATGGACCATCAGAACGCTGAGCTGATTTCGAAGAGATTACGCACACATCGGGCTCTGCCTGCTGATTGCTTGCAACGCGTGTTTCTTTGACGCTCTGGAACCAACGAATACTATGACCTCAGACTCTGACCCGACAGCATGGCCACCCGCCAAGACAACGAAGCCAATGGCCAGACCGTAGAACCTCAGCAAGCAGTCACAAACATTGAATCAGACAACCTTCCCAGCTTGCCAACATCGTGCTACTACAGGTGCTGGTTTCGCCATCTGCTACGGCCGTTTCGGTCCCTGGCTGCTTTCAACAGTTCCACATGCGGGTACAGGAGTCCTAGATCTGACTGTAACTGAATGACTGAAAACAGCCTCAGCAAAGGCCGGGCGAAATTTATAGTTTCACTGCACTAGTACCGGCGCATCAACCATCAGAACACAGCACGAGCAAGTCACCCCTCCCTGACACCAAAGTCCGGGAACAGAATCATGGTTCGGAACTCCAGGAGGATCCAAGTAAGTGACCCTGCCCCCCGGAATGACCAGATGAGGTGGCACCCAGAGATCAAGTAAACCACCCTGTTAATCGCAGCTCCGCGAAGCTGATTCGGCGTGTTTCTCTTTGCCACAGCGCAGCAGAGCACAACGAACACAAGCATGGCCTCAGGATCGCCCGGCTCAGCCACAATTCTGGCTTCGACTTGGCACTGTCTGATTGCACCCATGGCGTTTCTACTCCCCAAGCAGCTGAGCACCTGGCAGTGTACAGCAGCTCACCGCCTGCGGCCTAGGACCAATCCAGAGCTACAGTTGGAGAACTGTTTTCTGGGAACTGATGATAGACCCGTCAGAGATGGCTGAATCGATGAGATGGATGCAACCTACAGACAACTACAGAAGTTATAACTCGTCTCTAAGCGAAGTCGTGGACGGGATGTTCTTTGGTGCTTAACTGTTTAAGCTTACTCTCGCAATCTCTTCCCTTTCTCTGGTGCTGCACCTGTTTGTGGACAAAGCAAAAGCTTTCAGCAGGGTACGATTAAATCCAGTGAGGCCTGGCAGGCCTGGGCTTGCAATGAGTCCGTGCAGACTTCACGGCCTTTGGAGGATGGCTCGGGCTTTGCGCTAGGGCTGCAACGTAGCCCGCGTTGAAGGGAGGCACGGGGGCCACCACTGCCAGGTGGGGCGCACCTTGGCAACGCAAGCGATGGACAGGGGTCGAGCTCGTGCAGAAAACTTTGCGACTTGCAGCCGGTCCACAGACGATTTTGTAGACGGCCGCGGCGAGAAAAGCCCCCATGAACTGGAAGAGCCAGTATGTCATCATGCCTCCAAAAGACCTCTGGGCCATGACAGGAAGGCAACAACAGTCTGCACGAACCCATAAATATGAAATTTGAACTCTCAACGGGGCTGTTACAAGTCTTGACAGTTCAACACGCAGCTGCTCCAACCGTGCTCTGCATAAATGTTTTGCCCTTCGAAGCTCGCAACCCTGACTGAGTAGCAACTCCAGCCGCCTCGATACGCTCTTTCTACCCTACAAAGTTGAAGCCACGCGACTTCTTCCCCAGCAAGGCCATGGCGAATGTCACTGCGGGGTTGAGATGCCTGGGAACAAGGGTGCCAACCGAGTGAGACAAGCAAAGCTTCAGGGCACCTAGGGTCTAGCGATTGGGAACTGGAAAATTGTGATCGTGAGGTGTTAACAGGCTTCGCTTTTGCCTGCGGAAGTGCCTTGCAATGGTTTTTTCGCCACTGCTGCTTTCGGCTTCGTGGATGGCTTGGTGGTCTTACCCGATGATAATATAAATTTTATGAGCACCCCAGGTCGAGCATCATCAACCCTTCGTATCGGGGACGTGCCCGTTGCATGCCCACACAGCTAGATCTTTCACCCTACCCCCAAAGTACATAACGTGCTTTTCGTGCGTTTGTGGCTGTGGCCAAAAGGCTCCACCCCAGACACAAGCATCTTCGACACCAATTGCTCGATGATGCTTGCGCAGGGCGCCACATGCGGGAGCCACATGCGGGAGCCACATGCGGGTACTGCAGTCGGCTGCTGATGGACGGATCCGACAACGGCCCAGAGCCATGAAACAAGCCCAAAGACAGGTCAGCTACCAGTCAGATACCGGTCAGCTACAGGCGTGTGCAGGAGCGTGCACTTGTGCAGGGCATATCACTCACATCTGCTGTGTGGCCAAGCTGGGGTGTGGCCGACTGTTGGCGCTTGGAGTGGCAAATTGCATTGGCATAATATGGATTATGCTGTGCTTCGGCTTTGTTGTCGACTTCTTCTGAGCAGCTTTCGTTTGCGCTAAACCCGAGATCCTAAGCCTGCAAGACACGCCTTCGTGACCAGCTTTTTGCTACCTAACCCTAAGCCCGAAGCTCCCAGCCTTTCAAGCCCTGCATCCACAAAGCCCGTTCCTATAGGCTTGGGCATGAGCTGATTTCATGGCTTAAAGTCTCAAGCCCCGAACCGCCCCAAACCACCCCAAACCCTAGTCCTGGTTCATGCCGTCTTTCGGATTCCATTTAGGGCTTAGTCGTCGCGCTGGGCACTGGACCCTTGTACAAATCCCTTAGCTTTCAATGCATCAGCGGCACCCTCCCGAGATCGGGCCCGTGGCATATATCATTACCATCAGCACCTCAGAGAATTCACAAGGAGATGAAGGAAAGGGCCGCAACCCCCCGTAAACCTCCCTTTGGAACGCAAAAGAGAACCAGCAAGAGAACCTGAAGGCCTGAAGCTTGAACAAGCTTGTGGCATCCGTTTGGTAATGTTCGGCCCAAGGCACGCAGGCGATGGATGTCGCAGCCCATGGTGACGGTGTCGGGGAAGTGACCTCAAATCGTAACTTGGACTGTATGGTTGCCTCGTAGACAGGTTGGAACCATGAGACCGCGATCACTCGTCTGACTATCACTGAAGCGACAGAGTCAGCTGCTACCCAGAACTGATTAAGACAGCTTGGAGTGGTGAATTGGTTTGTTGCCGTGCCGTGCAAACAGCTGGAAGGTACTCAGTCAACAATGGGGCCTTTGACGGTCGCGGGAAAGATAAGGAGGTAAGCTCTACAAGTCATTTTCCATACACTTGATGCTTTGGAAAGACAGCCCGGTACGCTACAGCGCCGCAATAAGCGACAAACGGCAAAAGTAAAAACAATCCATAATGTGCCAGCCTGCATAGCCTTACAGCAACGAGCGCTCCGTGCAACAGACTCTTGTGTGTGTCTTGAGCCGGGCGACGACGCATCCGACCGTGAACACCAGGGCGAATGTCCCAAGACCTCTTGTGTTGCAGGAGTTCAAAGGCTCGAAAAAGCATCCAAGCACACACTTGACGCAGGATCTGTGAAGACATCCAAAGCATGGCTTCTCCAGAGCTCTGCTTCCAACCCTAGAGAAAGAATGATGTCCCATGCAACAATCTTGCTGAGGCCTTCTGCAAACAGAGGCGCCAACCTTTGCAAGCTTCGTTGCGCAGGTGCCCAACGAGCAATCACTGCAGTTGAGATGACTTGGGGATATGAGGATCTACAGGTCTTGACTTGAACGAAGCAGGATCTAAAGGTCTTGACTTGAACGAAGCACCTACATCGCACTCCATTTCAACTTAAACCTTCTCCGACACCCTGCAACAAGCTGGGGTGCCCTTTGAGGAAAGCGTTCAAGATGATCTTCATGTACTCGTCGGCATTACCTGGCACAAGCTCTCAGCGTCTTGGGTCATAAGGTTTTTTGGAATGTCATCAAGTTCCGGCAACTGCATTGTGTACTCGACTCTGTGTCACCAGCAAGATTCCCAAGTCCCAGGTCTCCATAGTAGTGCGCTTGGCAGGCGAAGGATGCCGAGTGCCGAGACGGAAACTGCGAATCTAGAACCCCTGTGACAAGCTGCTGATTTCCTCGACCCGCTACTTCCAAAGTCCATAGCTGCACCGAAGTTTGTCCAACGAAAGCTACCATCGGCCCGGCACTGTGCAAAACTTCCCAGAGCCACCACAACTTGAAACAAGAGCTGATACATATTCAACTTGCCCCACTGACCTTTTACGTGCCATCGTTTTCATGTTCCGATCCACTGTGGTGTTTCTAACCAATCCCCAAGTCACTAAAGTCACTCACATCGCTGCCAAGGAGCGCATCACCTCATTGAGGACTTCCTCAGGAGAGAGGCGAGGCGCATCGCGAGGCGCATCGCCAGACTGCCTTCATTATAAGCCGGGTGGGGAATTTATTGAATTCTTGTTTGGTGCTGGCCTTTTCCTTCTTACCATCTTCTTGAGGGTACTTTTCTTGCCTTGCCCTCACTGACGTACATCCACGTACTATTTGCTTTGGAGACCTTGCGTCTCGACAGGCGCCTCCCTTGTCCGTTGTTGCCCTGAGGAGCCGGGGTGGAGCCATAAGCAGCATCCGCTTGGCCTAACACGTTGAATGCATCAAGTTGACATGATATTCTGCACAGCCGAATTGACACGCAAGAATCTGAGCAAAAATTTCAATTCAGCAATCCCGCTGCCCTGAGCAACAATGCCTTCCAACAAAGCACGGTCAGGAGCTTCTTCAACGGATTGTGCAGCGGCAGCCATCGCGAATCTGCGCAGAATCTCAGTTGCAGCTGACATCTTTTGCTGTTACAAAGGGACGCCACGGCAACACTTTAACATCATTGCGTGAAGACCCCGCCGGCGAAGGAATGTTCACTGCTGGGGCTGTGCGAAACAACTTGGCATCACCACTGTCAGCATCTCAAACACCCATCTTCATGATGCCACAAACAAAACCAAGATGACTCCTAATAGCTATGGAGAATCCATTGCGCAAGAGCCTCACCTGCGAACAAAAATTCATAAATCCTGATGCATGTGGGACCTAGCCTCATCCCCTCAAGTGCGATGCACTAACACCAACATGCCACCAAGACACCAAAGTTTCAGTCAGCTTCGTGGGTTTTCGAAGCTTTGCTTGCGGTTGAAAGTTCAATGCTGCGGATGCACCAATCAAAATAAGGAAGGCAAAGTGGCAAGACGTGTCAGTAAACACACACACACATGCAAAACATGATGTTGCCCGCTCGGGTGTCGGCAAGTTAAAGCTCCACTGCATTTTAAATTGTTGCCCGGTTTGCTCCACGCGCCGCGCTCTGACTTGCCTGTGCACCCTCCATGTTCCATGTGTACAAGTCAGAGCAAGTATAAGGATAAAATTAGTTTGTAATAAGTATGAGTAGAAGCAAGAACTGGACGAATAATGGTAGCAGTTCTGGCAAGCCCGATGTGAATGCTTGGTGTCGTTGAGATTGGTAGTGTCGGTTGTTGTTTCTAGCAGCAACTGTGAAACCACATGGGCCTTGTATCTGTTAGGGCGAGGTCTTGACTGTACAATTATCGCTCGATTTTGTTTAGTTTTTCTTTGTTCTTAAGCATGCAAAATTTTACATGCTTTTTGTTGTTCTTGTGACTTGGTTTAAATCGAAATATTTAGATGTCTTTCGTTCTAGACATTCGTCGCAGTCTGCTTGTGCAACTCTGTGCATCAAAGACCTCTCAGGAAAACATCACATAGGTGAACTGCATGGAAAGATATCGCATAGGCGATCCGCATGACAAGGAAAACTCCAACATTGCAAATTGGAGCCTTCTCCCAAAATGAGGATCACATAGGTGACCTTCATAGAGAAAAGCCATACGTCGCCAAAATGAATGCCTGCAAAAAGCCCATGTCAAAAAAAAGACAGGCGCTTCTCTCTTGACAGCTGAAACCCACCTGGGCCGAGATGACCCAAACCTGCTTTGCACTCGAGGAAGCAGCCGCAGCAGAGTGACAGAGCTCATTCCGCCACAAAGACAATGCACCACGAGGAGCGCACCGACCACATCTAGAATGGAACTTTCGTGCCATCGTCTGTGCACCAAGTGGCGAAACGGTTTCCAGCGCGCTTGTTGAGCAAAGCACACTGATCATACAATTTGCGGAGCAAGGTTGCTTTCATTTGTCCAGTCGCATTCGTTGCAGCACGCCTATCCCGCATGTCTCTGTGACACCCATCTTCTTGTGCACCCTGATGCGTTCCTGGTTGGTCATCGGCTTTATTTGCTGCACCACTGCTTCAGAATAATTAAGAGGCGCAATACTTGCCGAGTCTTCTGCGAGGGTTTAGGCAGCAATTTAAGGGCCTTTTGTGGAGAGTTCGGGTGAAAACTTGGTCAGAGACTGCTGTTCAAAGCCCAGCAAGTATTCGGCCTCTTAAACTGCTGCCCAAACCCCTGCACAGAGAGGGCGGACTTCGCTAGAGCGATGTAATTGCATAGGAAAAAATGGCACAAGTTGCTGATTTCCCTCAACCCTAAACCCCAAACCCTAACCCAAACCCTGAACCCTGAACCCTCAACCCTGAACCCTGAGCCCGAAACCCTAAACCCGAAATCCTACACCCTCAACCCTAAACCCTCAACCCGACTGCACGGGTCCACGCCGCAGACTGGGGGTTTTGCTTCCCGGTTGGCACAGCGGGGGCTTTTGCACACGGGGGGCTTGCGCTCCCCGGGGCTTGCACTCAGCTCCTAAGCTTCGAGCCCCCAAGCTCCAAAGCCTTTAAGCCCTAAGTGGAATCTGAGCCTCTAAGCCAAGTCCTAAACCCAAGCGAAACGCCTGAACACCGAAACTCTCTTCCCTGAACCCCAACCTCCTGGCAGCATCATCTACGAGCACGCCGTTGTCTTGCAGGTAAGTGTTCAGGGCACATCTTTGCACTGCACGCATTTTTGACGAGCACGACGGGGCGATCGGGAACCTTGGAGCGACATAGCATAGTTTCGAGCCGACCGAAGCTTCTCTCTTTTCATGAGAATTATTTTGACTTCTCCCTCGATTCTTGTTTGTGGTTGGTGTTTGAATTTGCCCTTGGAGTTCCAAGATCTACGTTGGAGCAGTCGACGGCCTTTGTCACGCCCCGCGGGGTTCTGGCCAAACTTTCAATCTCCGCATGAAGCCTTCGGAGACCATCCGAAGGATGTGCTTGATTGGGTGGGCGCAACTGCCAACACCCTGATATGATACAAACCAGCGAAAAAACCCCTGATCGAAGAGCAGCGGCATCTCCGTGTGCATGCCGACAAAAGGTGCGATGGTACCAGCTCTGGTTTGGGCGACTGCACCGCGAATCTTGCACAGGTGGTTCCAATCGCAACGAAACAAGCCGCATTCTGCAGGCCATTGTGTGCATTTGCACAGATAGACTTGAGGCCTGCCGCCTGCAGATGACCCATTCCGCCGACTTTGGCTTGGAATGGCGAAGGCAAAAAAATGGATTCCAACATGGAATTTGCCGCACAGTTTTCGCACAGGCATTCCGCGAACAAACGGTGGCGAGCTTTGTTCTTTTTTCTGATTGCAAGGTCGAGGCAGCTGACCTGCTTGTCCAATTATAACCCAAAATGGGCCCAAAATTGGGACCCCAAATATAAAACTGCTCCTGCAACCACAGCTGCAAATTCCATGGCGCTAAAAAGCCACCACACACACCACAAACACACATTTACCAAGAAGAAACAAGAATTGCAAAGCTGGTCCGGCAAAAAAAAATTTGCAGATCTCAAGTTAAACAGTTGCAGCCGCAACCAGCAGCAACAAGAATAACAATTCATGGGCTGCGAAGACCTACTTCAGGTTGACACGTTCCAAAATTGGACCTACTTGTTGGCAGAAGCTAAATGGAAGGCAAGACTTGAGTAAGGATGAAAATCGGAACCACGAAAAAAGACACAGAACCAACAACCGACCGGTAACTCTAGAAACTCAGAAACTCCAAAGAAAATTTTGAACCAAAAAAGTCTTAAAGACCACTTTAATAACCTGACTTTTGAACCATCAACACCATGTAGAGATTCTGAACAGTGCAGAACTTATCTTGTCCTGCATTGATTTCTGTTCAAACGGTACTGTCAAAATTAAGAACGTTTTTTTCAAGCAATTTCAAATTGCGGATTTGGAAGGTCAAGAGAAGCTTTTCACAAGTAGCGCGCTGACCATTGTTCAAAGCACTTCCAAAGGATTCCTTGGCATTGTTTCAATAGGTATGATCTTTTCGAATTTTCTAAAGGGCTTAAGGGGGGCAGCTTGAATTTGAGGTCAAACAAGGGGGCTTGAGAAGGACTTCAAGCCCCCTTCGAGAATTACAAGCTGTAGAATTCTCAAATTCAAATTGAAGAAGGCTTCGAAGGACTTCAAGGGAGGCTTGAGAAGGGAGGCTTTCTCAAATTCGAATTCAAGGGGGCTTCGGAAATTCGAAAGCCTTCTCTTTCTCGAGGGGGCTTGAGGAAATTTGGATCCTCACTCCCTTCTGCCTTTCCAAGAAAAAGTTCGAAGGCGGCTAGGAATCAAGCTTGAGCTGAAAAGTGTTGAAGGGGCGCAGTCTTGAAGTGTGGGAGAAAGAAGAACTTTATTTTGAATCAGAGACGAGGAAGTGGGAGGACGGGAGAAATTAGAATCTGGTGGGAGGAAGGGAGAAGAGGGAAGGGAATTTATTCTAAATTCAACCCCCCTCGAATCTTGTTTTGTTTTGCATTTCATTCTTCGAAAATCAGAGGAGTAGAGAGGTTTTGTTTCTAGAAGTACAAAGCGGGGGGGTTGGGGGGGGGCGCAGCCCCCTCCATTTGCTTGTTGTGAGTGGAGAAGAGACAAGGGGCTTCATTCTAAATTCAACCCCCCCGAATCTTCTTTCATTCTTCGAAAATCAGAGGAGTAGAGACGAGACTGCTTTTGTTTCTAGAAGTAGAACGTGGGGGGGTTGGGGGGGGGGCGCAGCTCCCCCCATTTGCTTATTGTGGAGTGGGAGGAAGGGGAGAAGAGAGAACGGGCCTTATTCTAAATTCCACCCCCACCGAATTTTGTTTTGTTTTGTATTTCATTCTTCGCAATTCAGAGGAGTAGAGACGAGACTGTTTTTGTTTCTAGAAGTAGAAAGCGGGGGGAGAGAAAGGGGCTTTATTCTAAATTCCACCCTCCTCGAACCTTGTTTTGTTTTGTGTTTCATTATTCGAAAATCAGAGGAGTAGAGACGAGACTGTTTTTCTTTCTACACCCCCCCATTTGCTTGTTGTGGAGTGGGAGGAAGGAGGGGGGGTGTGGGGGGCTTCCGAATTTCCTCAAGCCCCCTTCGAGAAGGGGGGGGGGCTTCCGAATTTCCTCAAGCCCCCTTCGAGAAGGGGGGGGGGCTTGCGAATTTCCTCAAGCCCCCTTCGAGAAGGGGGGGTCGAGTCTTGCGAATTTTCTCAAGCCCCCTTCGAGAATTATTTCTCAAGCCCCCCTTCAAGCCCCTTCTGAAGCCCCCCTTGAATTCGAATTTGAGAAAGCCCCCCTTCTCAAGCCCCCCTTCAAGCCCCTTCTCAAGCCTTCATTGTTCGCCCCCCCCCCCCCCCCCCCGGGGACCCCCTGACCTTCCTCGAATTCGAATTCGAGGAAGCCCCCCCTTGCTCAAGCCCCCTTCGAAAAATTCGTAAAGATCATGCCCCTGTTTCAAGCTGTTTTTTTCATCCTCTTTTTGCTTTTCAGCACCGAATCTGAGCATCGAGGGCTTCGTCTTTCCAAA